TATAAATCGACGTTTTTTGAAACAAAACTACTGATGTTAACTAGGATACGAACCTTCCTACTCCTTCCGAAGTAATGTAATGTATTAAATAGCTAAATTACTCATTCCCAAAATTTGAAAATTTTTTGCTGGGATGTTATTTCAGTCTTTAAAAACGAAAAATTCAAAATAGTATTAATTGGACATGAACTATACATATAGGGCATATAAATATAACTTATAGAAAAATGCAGAAAAAGCAGTTAATAATAAACATTTATGAAAAGTCCTTTCAGTTGACAATATAAACTTCAATTCATATTGTAAAGTTTTCATTGCTGTCCATTTCAACACTATTCGAAGTAAACCATGCATTAAGACATTTACGATGGTTGGTTTTTTATAATATGAATTAAAAATAAATATATGTACGTAAATATATACATATGTATGTATTTAATACATATCTATGTATGTATGTGTACTATATATTTATATCCGAATTGTCGTTTGTTAGTTGATATCGTTTTTCGTGCCACATTATTTTTCTATAAAAAACTAAAGTTCTGATGTGTTTTGTTTTGTTGCTCACATTGATGTTGTCATCGCAACAAAAATATACAAACTGGCAACCAAATAACATACACACACACCAACAAAAAGCAAATAAAAAGGACAATAACATAAAATCCATTCAAATATTAGGTTAAATATTTCAGGACACTCTAGTGAACTATTGAACGATTTTCCACCTTATAAATTCAAACTTGAGTTAAAAAATGTTTAAAACAGTAAACATACATTATATGAATTGCACTAATATCTTAGTAAAAATAATATTAAAATAAAATTTATTTATGTATATATTCGTCAAATATGTAGTTTTGTAAATCATTAAAACTGTAACGAAAATGTCTATAAACACTGTGGACAACCTAATCACTTACACCTCCATTCTAGGAAATAATTATACAATCGTGTACATTGTGTTTTACATACTTGAATGAGTTCATTTTAAATGTCACAATGCAGTCAATTTTACGTGAAGAAAGAAATGCGTTCACTATCCGCACAAATCCACTTTCCCCATCATATCGTAGTACACTGGAACTATTTAAAATATTAATAGTGTGCTTTTTTATACATATTACAAAAATTTCTTAAATCGATTCAACAAATAGATCTTAAAACCCAAAATAATTACATTTTTTTAATTATTTCTTAATAGATATACAAAAATATTTATATAGGCGCGAATACAAAACATTGATATTGAATGTATACAAAGTTACAAACTCATGTCCATTTCAAATTGTATTGATGACATCATACAGAAAAAAATTAAACACTCATACATGCATGTGTATTTATGTATGTACATAAAAGAAGAAAAAATTAAAGGAACGTAAAAGAAAATATGTACAAGTACATCAAATGAAATGAAAATTGAAAGAATATATGACGATAAAAGGCAAATGTAAAGGAAGTATGTGTTATATTCTTTAAAAAGGGAAACGCCGAATAAAGAGGAATAAATAAAAACACTAACACACTCCCAACTCTTACCATCAACAATAATAACCAAATGTTAAAAAAGTATATATTTAATACTCCCTTTTAACATTATTGTTAACCTATTTTGAGTTTTCTCTTTTACAAACTTACTACCCTTTTCAAATATTTCAACATTCCGTTACATCGAATAACGCTTTATAACCGCAGACATACCTACATGTTCTCAAATTATTGCGGCGAATTCGCTTTACAGCAAAAGAGAGTTCAAATTCAAATAGAATTATATTACTTTGCCATGTGTTTTTATGTCCTTTTAATTTGATTCCAACGTTGTTTTTGGATGTTAGTTGACCTCATTAAAACTACAATAAATAGTTGTGATGATATGAGCAATTTTAAATGAAATCTTAGGGCAAATAATAATAAATTTTTCTGTGACATACATATATTTTCTTCTTAAAAAACTTACCTCACTTAGTAAAGAAAATAAATAATAAGATTGTTTAGATTTCTAAATGTATGTGTCCTTTCCGTGTATTTATGTATTCTAAGGCTTTCCCTTAAATAAAATAATATTTATATAAACTATTCTTTAAATTTACCCACAACAATATCATCGAATAGTGGACGACATTTAAGTTTAATTTTTAGTCGAGCGCATAATAAGAATATTCCAGATAATTTACGATGAATAGAATAAATTTCTTCTGGCGGAGGACATAATCGATGTGCCACCATTGTAGGAACCAAATGAGCGATACGTTCAGTAGTATTCTATAAAAATAGACAATAAATAATAGCCAAAGAATGATTTTTAAATAATATGTACTTACTTGTTTGCCAAAATCAAATTCACCCTCATAACGGAACATTTCTCCCAATATCATTACTGCATCTACATGTGCCTCTTCCATTTGTTTAGTTTCATAACCAGTTAGAAAACCCATATCTCTAGAAATTTCCAGAACTCCTTGGCGGTTGTTGTTAACTGCACACATTATTACCTTAAATAATTTAAAGATTTTAGAAAATAAGTGTTCAGAATTAATGCCGGGTTTTTTATTTCTTACTAAGTGAAGAAATTATACTTAGGTTTTGAAATTTGTGTGAAATTTTCAAACTTAAGTAATTTGTTTCCCTTAGTGTGAACTAATTTTTTTTTAAGTCTTTAAGTTTAATTTTAATATGTACACTGATGACCTAAGGTCAAACGAGCATAAATGTTTGCATGTACGTTTGTAATTCTATTAATATTATGCTTACATTTCTGTAATTCCGAATAAACTCTTTTTGATAGAAGCGTGTTGAGCCGAAATCAATTAACATTAGTCGTCTAGAGTCGGCATCGTATAGGAAATTTGACCAATTAGGATCAGTTTGCATACACTGTAGTTCAAATAACTCACGTAAACAAAGCTTTAAAACTGATTCTCCTATATGTTTTCGATGGTCGTAACTGCAAATAAAATAGTAATTGCTTAATGTTATAAACTAACTTCCTAAAATAAAGATTAATTAACTTACCTCATTTCGAAACATTTATCCAAGGGCACACCTGGTACTAATTCAGTTGTTAAAACACTACTCGTTGTCAAATCTCTAATAACGCTGGGAACGTAGTACTCATTATAGGGTGCAACCATTTCTTTAAATTTTTCTGTATACTCAGCTTCTCGAGTATAGTCAACTTCCCAGGTCAATTCACGCTTGGCCACCTTCACCACATTGTCTATGAAAAAACCGTGTGGAAAGACATCCCACACCTTTAACATACCCACCAAGTTGTCTATATCACTTTCTATACTTTGAGCAACACCTGGATATTGTACTTTTATGGCAACAACCATGCCATTTTTCAATGTTGCCCTATGGACTTGACCTATCGAAGCTGCAGCAAAGGGCTTATCGTCAAAATCTTGAATAGAATTACGCCAATCAGGTCCCAGCTGAGTTGACATTACTCTCTCAAGTTGCCAGTCCGGCATATAATCAGCAGCCTGACGAACTCTTTCAAAGGCTTTTGCCAATTGTGGAGACACCACATTGGAGTCTTGTATGGACAAAATTTGACCAATTTTTAAGGCTGCACCTCTTACTTTGCATAGTGTGTCTACTATTCTTTCTGCATTTGCAGGACTAAACAGAGCTTCGGAAACATTTTTGGAACCACCCATTCCTAGCGCTCCCTTCGTTAATTCGTTAATAGTGCCAATTCCTAAACCAGCAAATAGTCCACCAAACGACGCCATTCTTCCCAAACGACTTGACGGAACTTTTCTTTGTTTAGCTACTGTGCTTAGTGAAGGTAAACTTTTTTGTGCTTTCGAATCTGTCGTGTCCACGTTTGTAGAGGTATCTCCAGCTACAAATGTCAATACATTTTTTACATATTCTGTATCAGCTTTGAACTCATCTTTTGTTGACTTTACGGGTTCTGCTGAACTCATTTCTCTTTGAGGTTCCACAACTTGCTTACTTTTTGTTGCTGCCGTGCGTAAGCTAATTTCACGATCTTTGTGTCTTTTAGATAATATATCTTCAAGTTCTTTCAGAGTTATTGAAGAAATATCTAAATTTGCCGCATCTATATTGGATTGCATACTAACACGGTCACTGGTATTGGATGAAGAAGCTCTTTGCTGGTTTATATGTGCTTGAACATTTCCTGCACCTGCACTACCTGTTGCATTCGGAGTACTTGAAAATTGATTTGAATTCATTTTGAACTCTTGTGAAAATCGTACTCCTGCTAATTGCTTTACTCCCTCAGCTACGGCGCAAGTTCTACCTCTGGTTTCTTCTATAAATTCTTGAAGTTTTTTCAATTCTTTTGATGGATTTTGACCAGTTGACTTCAAATATTCAGCTCCCACTTTTAGATTTTCCTCCAACAATTCTCGTATGCTTGAATTAGACCATAAATGTTTGCTTACTTTTCGTTGCTCATGACACAACGCCTCTGCAACCAGTTGCAAACCCCTCAACACCGCTAACACATCTTGACCAGCTCTTGCCATCTTCTACTTATTTATTATATTTCTCGACACAATATAACGCATTTAAACTTAAAATCGCATGTATTAATATTTTTCCTAAATCTAAACTTTGTATGTTTTTCTTTCTTATTTTTATTATGAAATATCTATGAAAAACAAGAAAATACTAACAACTGGCGGTTAATTATATAAAAACAATGATGCCGGACTTTAAAGAAAGAACGCAAACGAACATATGTTCTGTCAGTTTCATTTAGGGATGCCAAGTCACTTGTATATATAGAAAAAATGTTTAAAGATAGTAAATATTTTATCAAAAATGTATTTAAATAATTTTTTTCTAAAGAATAATGTAGATTTATTTGTATTATTACACTAAATAACATTAATTTGCAACTAAAAAGTATAATATCAAAAAATTATAATTTTTTTTTTCGTTTGTCCCATTTTGGAGAATTTTGAACAGTACGGCAACTTAATAAAAATACATTTTTTTATTTGCTTCAAATACATTGAAAACGTTTTTAGAAACACCTAACGATTTATTTTTTAAAGTTCTTTGCAAATATTAAATATAAAAACAATTTAAATAGAACAATAAAAAATGTGTATTTTTATGTTATTGTGATATGAGTGCCAGTGTTAGATATATTGATGCAGGTTTTAAAATGTGAAAGATTCATAGTTCGACGATTTGCAATAAAGTAATCAAATACCTATAAAACAGAAAATTTCTGCAAACTAATTAATGTTTACAATTTGGTCAATTATGCTTAAATTGAAGAAGAAAATACACCTGCTCGATGATATTTGTACATAAATAGAAAAATATGATGTATATCAACAACTTTTTTAAAAAAATTTTTGCAAAGTAATTAATGTTTACAATTTGGCTAATTATGCGTAAATCGAAGAAAGAAGTACTCTGGCTAGATGACATTTCCAAATAAATAGAAAGATATGATGTATATCAACAACTTTTTAATAAAAAGGTAAGTGGACACCTTTTTACACGATATTTGTACTGTTTTATTTTATTAATTTATATACAGAATTTCAACTATTTATTGTTTTTAACTAAAAATATTTAAAATGTTAGCACCACTCTTATAAAAGTATATTAAGTATTTTTTAGCACAATCGTATTTCAATTGTGTGTTGCAATTATGCTAGATAAACTTAAAATCGTCCAGCACGTTCTAGCTCATCGTTGTCTAGAAGCTCATGTCCGTGTCTATAATTGACAACTTTCCCAGTAGTGACATCTATTAATCGTAGATAAGGATTTGGTTTTGTATTCTTTTTATTCCCTATTGACGTGTAGCCTTTTTGATATAATTTGCAATATGGTACATTATAAAGATATATATACTCCCACACCTGACGACACTTCCAATCAATAATAGGATTAATACGCATTAAAGGTGGCCAACCCGAATCTGTCATCTGTAAAAAGCATTTGTTAGTATGGAAAATTGTCTTTAACTTGTTCATCTACAAACCTGCATAACTTTTAAATCTTTACAATAGGGATCAGTTCTTCTGCAGCCCATAAATACAGCTTTTAATTTTGGATTATCATTGCAAAGTTCTTTCAAGGCTTCTTTAATAGGGCCCTTTTTCTTTATAATATCTATATTGTAAAGATTCTGGCAGTCATTCACAAACTGGTCGATTTCCTCGAATGCATCCGGATCAGTGATATATAACGTAGGAATTTTTATATTTTTCAGACAGGCGTTATTTTGGAAAAACTTGTGCAGCATGTGTAGAACTACGGTACAGTCTTTCCCTCCATTAAAAGAAAGCAAAATTTCATCCGGTTTATATAGTTGAAATACTTTATGCATTATCTGAAGAAAAACATTTATATAAAAATAATAGATAAAATTTATAATTTTTTTAGTACCTCTAATATGTCCTTTTCCTTTTCTTTAATACCTTCTTCGACATCTTCAAAATGCTGATATTTGAAGTCAACCATGTCTTTTTGGTTTATTTTCGGTTCCTTAGAATCTACTTTAACTTCCATTGTTAAAGAGATGTATTTTTTATATCTTATGTCTACCAATCCGAGAGACAGCAGTCGGCTTTTTAATAATATTCAAAATTAGTTGCTTTAGATATGGTATATAAGCGGGATTTTGTTTAACTTATTGTGGAATATCTGTAATATTAATAAGATTATATATTATTAAAAGGAAAATGGATTTTTAATATTGATTTATTTCTTAAAAATTAATATATAACATTCTAAAAATTTTAACACATTAGAAATATGTATTATTACGTTAAAGGCTATAGGCCCTATCTGAAATCTTTAAAATTTTACAGGAGAAACAAAAAATTATTTAATGTGGAAAGTTTAGTTTCAATAAACAGGATTTATTTTTCTTCAAAAGAAGAAAAGTTGTTCTGACCTGGTTCTGACAATTTAGTTTGTTTTATTTACAAATCACTATTATGTACGTTTCTTTAGCCTTTATATTTAACTGCTTTTGTAGATAGGGGCCTTTATTTTTTGTCAATTAAATAGCTAATTTTGGTCAGCGGAGTCTATGAAACCCATATAAGATCTTTAAAACATTTTCATGTAAATCTAACCATATATTAGTAGTTACGTGTTCCTAAGTAAAATAAAATACATATACATATGTAATATAAAATGTAAAGTTACACGTCCAATGAATTGCTAACTTTCATTATAAAATCAATTAGTACTCTTATTATAACAATAATTTAACAACAAAAGATACATAATTATTATAAAATAGGTATAATGATGTACACTTACAATTACTGCAAAGACTATATTTATCCAAAGTGGCTCGTTTTTTCTTTGTTCCAAACTTTTATACTAATTAAATTTTTTAAGAAATTTAAATTTTTAAAATAATTATATTTAATATATATTCTTTTTCCAATATTTCATATTTTTAATTTGATTTTTTTACTTTTTTGTTAATTTTACATTTGACAAATTAAATAGCCCAGCTGTTTTTGTTTTGACGGAAAAATCAAGAGTAAAAAGAGAGAAGTGTTCACGTGTAGTATTGGTAAAGTGTTGCTAAAATAGTAGTAGATTTTTAAATGAATTTCATAGATACATATTAGGGGCATAACTTTTATTAATTTTGTGAATATGTTTTTTTTTGTTTTATTTATTATTTTATATGTGATAATGATATTTGGTACTAAACGTCAAATTTAAACTAAAAGAGTTCATATCTAAATGGCAATAATTTTTGGTATATACTATATATGTACGCTCATTTGCAATTAAAGGGTCGTAAACTTAAATAACGTTATTTTTATAAATAATTTAAATAATATTCTATATGAGAATAACTTAATATCGTGTTGTAATCAGTTGTACTCAATAACTCCAAATTTCAGCAAATTTAGGCTTCAGGTAATTGTTTTAAACGCTTAAAAATTTGTTCACTATTATTCAAAAATTGTTTGAATCATAGCCGCACAATTATTTAATATTCCTCACAATGTTTGAGTATAACAATAGTGGTAACTAATATGCTAAACAAACAATGAGTTGAGTGCAAATCAATGACTCAATAATTGTGGGTAGCAAAAAATAGAGTCACTCATGAAAGACTCAAGTAGGTATTAAAATGTCCGTTTATCCATTATCTACAATGTAACGAAATTTATTTTTCATTAAGATTCTTGCCTAGTGGGCTATATTGTTAATTTTGTTTTTTACACTCTTGCATAACTATCTTTAAGTATTTTATGACTTTTACAAACACCTTTTAATTTAACTCTAATATAAAACAAAATGTTTTAATGTATTACTTCCATTTAAAAATCACGTTTATGTATACAGAATGTGTGGGATTTTTGAAATATCGATGAGAAACTTAGGAGTAACACGTATTTTGTATCACATAGTATTAAAAAAACAAATCATCAAGAAATACGCTGTTTGCATATGAACTTTCATCGAAATCATTTACTAGGTTAAAAGATTACCGCTTTAAAGCAAGATAATTGCAATTACATATTTTATAACAAATACTCTTTGAAACTTTGAACACGAATAAATAAAAACTCTGGGTTTCTACAGGGTCGTATCTCAAAATTTACCGCTACCGAGATCTTATAGACAATTTTCAATTTGAATGTGAGTAGAGAGATATTACAGAAAATTTTCAATTTGAATATGAGTAGAACAAAACTTGTAATTATTCGTTTGTTTGATTAGTAAAAATTGATTTAAACTCGACCAATATACTCAGCTACATTTATGTATATAAGAAGGTCGATTTTTTAAGATTAGAATACGGTTGTAAAACTTTCAAATTTTGAGTGATTACCCGTTAGAAGCAAATGAACTATTTGTATATCATTTTCAGATCAGCTCGTATATAAGTGCAGATGAAAACTATTTGCGTGAATGATATGTCGGTAATGAATGTACACTAAATATTTTTTATTTTTTTATCAAAATTGTATTAGTAGTATGTATGTCTAAATATACATGTGTATTTGTACAATTACTTTATCTATTTGTCGTTGTTTTAGATTAACATTAAAGAACAGTTATTTTTAGACATTTTAGTTTTTTTCGGTTACAAGTAACATATTGACAAATTATTTCTATTGTTATCAGACCTAAGTTGGCCCGGTTACCAAGCAAATGAAGTCATTTTGTTGTTAAGAAATGTACATATTGGTATTCGAGTCATCTTAGGTTCATGGCCTGGAATCGTCTTTATCTAAATGACCTATGAATAAGTACTTTTTTATTTTTTAATCTATAAAACTATTAATTATAATTAAAAAGATATGTATTTGTCAGATTTACAATCATATGATCTTAAAATTGGGTAAATTATTTACCCAAAGCAGTAAATTTAATGTAAATAATACTAACGATCGAAGGATTTCATACAATTTTTGGATACATTTTTATTCGGTAACTGTAAGTTTTGAATGGATTATTATTTCATCGAATGGATTTATCTACATAACTATATAACAATAATTATATTTTATTTTCTGGTAATCATTTATTTGCATCTGCTGAAGATGTTAATTATAAATGTCCATTTTAAAGATTATTGTATCACAAAATGTAAAATAATAATGTATATATTTTTTCATAAACATTAATTAAGAGGTCATTGCTCTTTATGACAAAATTGGCCCAGTTATTGCTAAGCTCACGTGCATTTTCAAATATGTATGTAAATACATTTAATAAATTCTTCAAAACACTTTCAATTTCTTTTATACAATATGAACATGTATATTCAAACCAAAATGAAATTTAAGCCTTAAGGTGATAAATGTAGATCAACATTTAATAAATTTTGTGCTTATGTAAAACCATCAATTTCATTAAAAAAGTTTATTATTTTATGAATGAAGGTGTTATTGAAGCTGTTACATTCTTTATGGTGTTTGGGTGTTATACGTGTTTTATAAAAACAATTTGTAAATTTCGGAGTATTCAAAATTTATGATGTCATAGAAATTATGAAATTATTACTTTTGAAGAAAAAAATTTCATAAAATAATTTCATTAAAAATAGTCTAAAATAAAGTAGTATATAAACGTTTGTTAAGTTTAAAAGTGTACATTCTATTACAATAAAGTTATCAAACAACATCTCAAATATATAGATCTATATATTGTGCTCAACTAAAGAAAAATGTTAAGTTTGGTACGTATTTAATGTGTAATTTTCCGATTAAAATTAAAAGTTAAATTAAAAAATATGTTATACATTTCAGATATATATATCAACAATATTGGTATTAAATCAGTCACTGTACGTTTTAATTAACGCTCAGCAGGACTTGAAAGTAAATCCAAATGTTTGGAATAATCCTACAAATCAACTCCCATCGAAAAACTATCATCCAACCATCGACAATTATTCGCATCAGAAAGCATCTTTCAGCTCATATTACAATTATAACCAACTTAACCCAAACGCAGTTCCTATTCTTAATTCTTATTATGAATCAATCATTCCCATAGCTATCCACCCGGGTCAAAGCAGTTCGTACAACAAACCTAATTGGGAAGATATAAGAGAAGGAAGATCAACACCAATTAAACCACCTGTTGAATTACATCATGGATATCGTTATAATACACCGGCAATTTCTTTTCCAAATATAGCACATTTGAAAAATGTTCTTTATAATGACTTAGGTTTAGATAAAAATCCTAATAATTTCCCTGGTTCTCCGCACGGTTTTGAGGTGCAACAAACTGAAGAGGAAATTCCAAATAATGTATATTTCGGAACACAAAAACCAAGTAGTGAAACCAAAATTTTAACCCATGAAACAAATTTTAAGGATCATAAAAACACACAAAACATTACAATTTTAACACCAGTTAAAAATGCCACTTTTACTTACCACTATAACCAACCAAATGTATTCGACCACAAGAAATTTACTCATGAAAACAATAAAAATAAATGTATTAATGAAACATCATCTAAATACTCGGAAGGTCATAACTCGACATTTAATATTAAAACCTCACCAAGTGCTCAAATATTCGAACATATTAAAACCGAAAATAAAATACCAGAAACTTCTTTTAAATCGAATAATTTAAGTCAAGAAAAAATTGCCTCAAATTTTTCAAAATATAGTGTCATGCAAGAGAGAGTCGAAGCAACAACAGATTCATCAAATGTTCGACCTAGTCAAAATGAATTAACTTTGAACATTACACCAAGTAAAAAACTCTTGGAACATATACAACCAGGAAAAGTTATAGATGATATACCTGCAAATGTTGCTCAAACTGAATTTAACAAGTATGTCAGTGAAGTAAATAATAACAAGATTTTTAAATATGATTATCTTGGGAAACCTTTTGTAAATCAGCAAACTGTTGAAAGTCCTCATTTAATGCCTGCAATCTCATCTCTTTCTGGTCATTTAAACGTGAAACCAGATATACAAACAACGCACATTGATGGGACTTTTGCTCAAGAAAGTAGCAATAATCCAATTAACTTATCAGAATATCAGCAACACTTCCCTAATTCAGAAAAACAGCATATGCCAATACAAAGCTTACCTCATGTCAGTGGATTATCAAATGAACAATTATTATATAATATATCTCCAAAACCAGATTTTGCACAAGAAAGTGGAAATAATGGAAACTTTCCCAATTCACAAAAGCAGCACACGACTACACAAAGTTTACCCAATGTCAATGGATTATTAAATGAACAATTATCTCCAAAACCAGCAAATCGACCTACTTCACTAGACAAATATCCATCTGGAGAAAATCAACATGTTAAAAACAACAACTTAAAATTTCAACAATTAGGTGATCCATCCATACAACAGCAACAAAACAATCTGTCTAAACCACCAAATCAATATACATCACTAGATAAATATTCATCTGGAGAAAATCAACAGTATAACTTCATAGAACCCGGAGTTATATCTAATGTTAAAAACAACAACTTAAATTTTCAACAATTAGGAAATCCATCCATACAACATCAACAAAACAAAGTTTTTTCATTAGATGAACATTTTTCTAAACCACCAAATCAATATACTTCACTAGATAAATATCCATCTGGAGAAAATCAAGAGTATACCTTCATTGAATCCGGAGTTTCATCTAATGTGAAAAACAATAACCTAAATTTTCAACAATTAGGAAATGTATTCATACAACAAAACAAAGTTTCTAACAGTGGACTTAATCGTCAAAATCATATAAACGAAGATACGTCGATACATTCTACCCCTGATTCAAAGAGACATAACGAAATAGTATTTCCTACTAATTTCGTACTAATCAGCCCAACTAATTTCGTAACAAGAGTACCAACATATCCTAATTTAAAAACACGTGATGACGTTAGTTTGAATATTCAAAAAGGATATCCTGAATATAATCACCTTGCTCCCTCTTACAATATTCAAGAAAAAAATAATTCTTCTATAATAAGTGGTGGTAGTGATATAAATGAATTTTATCCAGTTCCGCATTTACAACAAAATAATATAATTAATCAAAATAAGACAGATACGAATCAGTTAACTAATTTTTACACATATATTGCGAAGCAAAGACCAACCATTGCATTTAATAATGAATATATAAATCCTAGAACTGCCAATTATCAAACGGAAAGTACTAACTACACACCAACCAAGGCACAGATAGTTGAATTTCCAGTATTCAATACAACGAATAAATATAATCTACCACAACAAAATGTTCAATCCAAAACATCAATAGTGTTTCCTACAAATAAAAAATTACGATCGCCTCATTTGGTATATGGTTCTCCATTTTAATCCTTTCACTAGATCGATCTATAACTATTGTTTTTCTATATTTATTTTTATATAATTTACCATTAAAATAATTATTTATATTGCAAAAATTACGTTTTATTTTATTTCCAATTTATTGTATGTTTATAATCCCAGCAAAAAAAGTGTGGAAAAAGATGTAGAATTTTCATCACAACTAGTAACCCGAAGTGCTTCAAATTCAGGTGAAAAACCTATGAATTTTACATTAGCGTGTCATTGGAGGGATGTTGTTCATTTCTGACAACTTTGAACTACATCTAATCTTATCTTTAGAAGCTGTAAAAATCCGATATTTTATGTCAAAAATAAACCACATTCTTTTAATGAAACGCTTATGTAAATTTCATCAAAATTTGAAGTACTTCGAATATGTTGTTTGTAGTGACTTTTCTACATCTCTTTTCTCATTTTTAACTGTGTTTTAATTTGTAAGTATATGTTTGGTTTATAAAAGCGAAAAGTATGCAATCACATTTTTAGATGTGATTAAGATGTCGTTTGTAAAGTATGACATCAATTATTTTTTGCTGGGATCTTTTGTAAAAAATATCTTGTTATGGCCTAAGAGCAAATGATGAAAAATAAAAAAAAAATCAATCAAATTAAGTTTTTAATTAAATGTTTGTCGAAAATGCATATATTTAATAAGATTTAACTAGATCAGATATATGTATATAATTATTCATTGTAATTTTTCTCTTAATAAATGCTATAGTTTTCTCAGGATGAGTAATGGAATTGGGTACTTATGTGAATAATAAATGTGAAATTAACTTTCTATTATATAACAGAAGTAATTTTACAAATTATTCACCTCTATTTTTTTTATTATTGGTTTAAATTTTGCACATATCGAACATTAAACAAATAATCGATAAGACTTTTCTTACGCCAACATAGTTATGGCAGCAATATCAAAGTATAGTAATGAACTGCTTATGAGTCACATAGAAAAAGTAGTTACACTGTAGTAGTAGTCATATTTAAAAAGGGACTAGCAGTTCAATAAACTAAAGAGTAATACGAGAAGGTACAAAAACCTATATTTTTTTATTAAAATATTAATAATATTCATATTATCTCTGTGGGGAATGGTTTGTTTTAATAATCCATAAAAAAAAGCAAAAATATCAATGAACAAGACGTTTGTTATAGTGACGAACTAGTCTGTGATTTAGCAAAGTTACAATACTAACAAATAAAGTATTTACTCATAATCATTTGACGATTATTAAATTCAAAATATATCAAGTTAGGTGACTGCATAATTAATTTTATAATAGTCGAAGTTTCATTATTTGACCGTATTTTTCGTTTATGTATAGAAATATATTAAAACATAAATAAAATAGTAAAATGTAACTAGTAAACTCAACTAAAATAATAGAAATAGATATATGGATGGTCTTGCATTAGAAAACATATAGCTTTGTAATTTATTGTTATTAAAATTCATCTGTAACATAAATAATTCTATTATTCTAAATATAAATTACTTAATTTTAAAATTTAAAAACAGATTACTACAAAAATAATTTTTAACTGCAGATTTTCAAAATATTTATATTTTAATTAATGTCATTTCTACATTTGTCATAATTAAGGTAAATATGATGTTGTGGATGCAGTAATATGCGAAAAATATTGTTATACCATTAATATTCATTATAATGTTGACTTTTTGAAACGTTCGTACCTTTGCAACTTATATAATAGTTTTATACATATATGTATGTATATTAAATTTACTTTCTTTAAGCTTTTAAATATGATGTAATAAAAACTCTTTAAACGAGTAGGTTTGGTATTGTTTTCTTCTAAAATGCATAATGCTCGACTACCAAAACCTTATACAGTTCAGATGCAATTGCAAGCAGTGATCAGTTGCATATTCAATGTCAAGATATCAATTTCAATTCCGGCGGAAGTTTGCCAGTTTTTACTTCAGGATTATGTTTCAATATTATGGTATTTTTGTAAGTTTCTATGAACAGTCTATTTAATATAAATATGCAGAAAAGTTGAGATAATGGATTAGTTGCAAAGTTAACTATCAATAATTCATTATGTATTCTATTCACGCTTTCGTAATTGCGTATATATTCAATATTTATTTCATAATAAATAATACAGCAGTCAGCTTATCCTTCGGCCATAGGAAAAGAGAACTGAATTTTAACAACTATCCTGCTAACAGTGCAGTAATTGATCCAAGGGAGTACAATAATTACTATCAACAAAATACCATTAATGATCCTGGTTATACTACTCAAAATGAAAACAATAATGATGACAAAACAATATTGGGAGAAAGAAATGTTAATACAACCAACTCTCAGAATTTTGTGGAATTCAATAATCCTTCTGCTCCAATGTTTCATTTAATGTATATGCAATCCCAACAATACAAAAGGCAACAAACACCAACAAATGCAGATGTACCAATAACGTATCATAATCAACAAAATCCCCATACGCAGCAACTTCATATAAATAACCAAAATTTGGCATATGCTGGACCCCATCTATTTCCTAATCCACTTACCAACAACTATCAGAATATGCAGCAATCAAATCTTCCCGACAAACATTTTAACAACGTTTTACATAATATATATCCAGCACAATTTTTCTACCATCCATATCACCAAGATTCAAAAGTTCCATCTAAAATGGAAGCTCCTTTCATACCCTCACAGTTTTTGGGTTACGGTCAGCAGCAAAAACAGGAGTTGCCTCAACAGTTACGACAACAAAATCAACAGTTTTCCCAACCAGACCACTTCAGCCAGCACTTAAACCAGTGCACGAGGAACATCAGGCTTCCCAATATCATGCGCCCAACTTAATTTATATGGCTCCTAATAACATGTATGATTTGTATAGAAAGTCAAATTAATATTTATCTTAAACTTTTAATTTAATACTAAGTTTGAACCTCTTTAATTTTATTTATAAACGATTAAGTTGCCTTAATGGCATATTTGTTAATGACCTTCTGTAATAATTGTGTAACTTTTGCTAAGTTATCAATTTACCAAAATTAAAAAAAAAACACAACAAAACAAATTAAATTTAATTTTGTGCTAAGTGATGGGATAAAAACATTAAATTAACTTTGCAGTGAAATAGGTTTTCTACAAAGTGTGGTGATTACAGTAGTAAATGCGGATCATGAAGACATTCGTTTGATAGACATTGAAAATTAGTTATTTACACAAACAGTGTTATTTTTGTGGTGCGGGTATTCTAAAACCCTTTGAATATTTGAAACTTGGCAAAAACAATTTAACAGATTGGCGTACTGAAAAATTACAGTTTTTCCACTTTATATTTACCACAATGTCGTTGACGATCATTAATCACGACAAGTAATCATTTTTTTCCGGGAGAGCAATATACTAGTTAGTAAAATAAAATATATGCGACTTTCATAGACATGAGAGTAAATTTTTGAAACCTACCTACCAAATACCAAAATTAAATTTGTAATGAAATTAACGCATTTAAATACAGCTATTTTCATAATTAAAATGCTTATTACGGAAAGAGAGACAGAGAGTAAAATATGTAGTTGTAATGATTTGGCTCGTGTCATCACTAGAGCCACTGAATGAACAGTAAAGAGTAGAAATTAAAAAATAAATTCAACATGACATTGTGTGTAACACAATCCATTGTCAAGAGCATGGCTGGCTTCACAATTTTGTATATTTTTTGTTTATATTAAAACATTTTCTTAAAAAGTAAAATGCAAAATTTTGCTAGGGTTTTTTTTTAAAAAAAGAGTATTTTACTTTTGACTGGGTTCGTTTTAAAGCAATCCAAAAATGTGTGTAAGTATAAAAGTGGTTGTCTGTTCACTCATCATAAACATAAATCTTGTAGCTGTTAAGCAGCACAGTTGTGGATTATAGACGATTTTGAACTGAAGTGAATTTGAAGGATTAATTAAGGATACAATGAAGATATTTGTAAGTATTCCTTTTAAAAAGTGAAAAAAAAATGAAATTAAAATAATTTTAATTTTTACAGTGTTGTTGTTTGTTTGCGGCAGTATTTTCTTTGGCATTGGCCGAGGTTAAACATGCAAAAGAAAGTGCAGTGGAGAAAAAAGTAGAGGCGCTTGCGTCGGATAAAAGTAGTGATTCTAAACCCAAAAGAGATGCGTCTCATGTGAGTGGAGTTTACCATGGACCTTCATATAAATATTTGCCCCCGTCTTCGGTTTCTTCTTCTTATGATACTTATTCGGGAAGCGTTGGTAGTGGTGGACATATTTCTGGTGTAGGAGGTGGTTACAGTTCGGGTGGATTTGGTCATAATCATCATGGATTTTCTTCCTCTGGGCATCATAGCAGCGGTGCTTCCCATGGTCTTGGCTATGCCCCATCAGCAAGTTATCACGGTAGTGGTATTCATGGCTTAGGTTTTACTTCTTCTAGCCATTATGCTGGCCATGGATCTGCCCAACATTCTGGAGGTTTTAAAGGTGGTGTCAGTTCTCATAAAGGAGTTTCGTTCGGACATAATGATTTTGCCAGTCGTCCCCTTTCTTACGCTGGCGGTCATGGTTACAGTTCATCCGGGTCTAGCTCATCTGGCGTAGGATACAAATTACATTCACATTCTTTAGGTGCGACAAATTCTGGTTCGGGTAGCGGTTATCATTATACTTCTCCTGCATCTTCTGGATTTGGCTCCAGTCACGGATTTAGTAGCTCTCATGGATCTGGTTTGGCTGAAGTACATCATGGCGATCATGTACATAACGGTGCTCAGGAACATATTTATGTCATTTCAAGTGGACCTGCTGGTTTTGGTAACTCACATGGTTCTGCTTCAGTGGGCCAACAAGGAGGCCACGGAGTGCCAACTGGTTCATATTTACCACCTGTACAGCAACATCCTTTGCCTTCTAGTAGTTATGGTGTACCCATTGCTACCGTAGGGGATTCATACAACACAAAATACCACTCTCACGTTTCTGCTGTTGGAGACCACGGTCCAGCTTATGCTGCAGGTCACAAGGGATTGGGTCACTTTAGTTTTGCGGCCAATAAGCCTCAAGTATTACACACCAGCATTACGGGATCGAATAAACCTCAAGTATTACACACCAGCATAACGGGATCTAGTTTCAATCAACCTTCTTATTCTAAAGCTCCTTTTAAGCCATCTGAGTTTTTGGGTGCCAAATTTGAAGGTTCCGCCCATAATGAAGCTCCCGGTCAACAATATTTGCCCCCTTCAGGAGTAGGAACTGATACTACAGGTTATGACTATCCTATACCTTCCGGATCATCTATAAATTTCCAAGAACCCAGTTACCAACAAACTGTGGAAGTACAAACAACATCTGTACATGAACCTGAATCCTCTTATTTACCACCCAATAACCATGAGGGTTCATATAATGAAATTTCATCTGCCGCCAGTGGCAGTTACTTGCCACCTAGCAATAGCTATGGTGTTCCATATTCTCATTAGAAAAAATCTAGTTGGTATTTTGCCTAAAATTAGTATGTTTAAACTAAAATCATTGAATTTTTTAAATCCTTTTAGTTGATATAATTTATTATTGCATTTATATATCTAATTTATGTATGTAAAAACATTTCATTTAAACAAAACAAACATGTATTATCAGTTAAAAAATAAAATTTGTACATAGTCAACAAAAAAAATTTGTTTGAAAAATTTAAAATTCATCTCACAATTGGCATGATGTCAATCACTATTAAAAATAACTTTCCCACTTTGGCTGGCTCACAAATGAAGTAGATTAATCAAGTAATAAACAATATTAAAGAAACTTTGTAGCTTGTCAAAGTATTGTTCGAAACGATAACAAGAATTTTATTAAAAGCGTAAAAAATGTTTTTATTTTTAATATGCATAGATGTGCATTACAAAACTGGTGGAACTGAGCATTATGGACATTTCAAATTTATCATATTGTTCATTATACTTAGCAGCAGATTGTTTTCTATTAAAGGAATTTAAATTTACATTAAAAAAATTAAACTAAATTAAAGTCTCTTTTGTGAATTACATTAATAATATTAAGCGCGTTTAAATAAAAGTGGCTTTTGAATAAAATAATGCGTGTTTGCATTCAAAAGATTGTTGCTTAAGTTTATTGTTTTTGTTTCATGAGTATTTTTGTTTTGTTTTTTAATCTTTCGACATGAAGTTCATGTTTTGGGGCCTTTATTATACAATTGATGTCCGATTTATATTTTAAAAACTTTTGTCTTCTTTTATTGTATACATGACAAAAATTAAATTGTAAAATATACTTGCAACAACAATTAGTTTTTGTTTTCATTACTAAAAATAAAAAAACAAAACACTAAAAATAAACTAATATAAATAATAAATTATGGATTATAAAGACACTAATTTATGTATAATTAGTGTTTCGAATTGAAATTCAAAATTTGAATGTAAATAAAATTTGAAACCTATTTTATGGTTAGTGTATGTTTTTATGATAGAACTTTTTATCTAAAAATTTAAAAATAATTATTTGAATGTCATAGTACTATTACTGAAGTTATTCTACTTTTCTCAGCGTAGTATTTGTCATCTATGGGAAATTTAAACATTCAAGATAACTTTTTATAATATTAGATTTCATAAAAAGTGAATGTGTAATTTTGTAGCTTTCATGTACAATAATATCTTACGTCTATGAAATCCGTTGTTTTAACTTTGTTAAGGTCTAAAAACCATAAGTTTAAATAGTGCTATTAAATGAATTTAAATAAACTGTTATTTAACACTCATATAAGTACCTAAATATGTATGTCGTCGTTGTGGCAAGTATTGTGTGAAATCAATCGTAAAAATAACAAATTTCATTTGGATATTCACATATGTGTACATACCTTCATACGATATGGATGACCATTAGACCGGCTTTGTATAAAATGCTGAAAGAGTCTTTGTTTCCCCCTCAAAATATACCTTGTTTTATTCAATGATAATTCGCAAACTGTTTTGTATCCCGTGACGACTGTTCTAAAACTGGATTCAGTACAAAAACGACATATACAATATTTATCAAAAATCGCGAAATAAATTAAATTTTAAGATCAAAATAAATATTCTGTTTTCAGTACACAATTATAATTTATATTCCAAACTTACAAGTATTTACAAATTATTATTCAAATTATCAATTGTTTTCTACGCAGAAATATATAGTGAATATCAATGTAATTATGTTCTATTAATTGGTTAACTGGTTAATTTGGTTCACGAAGCTAAATATTTTTTGATCATCTCTAAATCACATTTCAAATGTTTTTCTAAACCCCTTTAAATAGAGATTTAATTTCGCATTCGTTAAAATTACTTGTTAGTGGGCTTATAATAACAAATTCCACTGTATAAAATTTATGTTGTTGAGCAGTATTAATAAAACTACAGTATATATTAAGGCATTTTGATATTAAAAATAAAACAAAAACACTTCTTGTAAAGAGTTAAAAGAGGTAAAAATTATTTAAAAAATAGCTGTAGTTGAAAACGTTATTTTTTTAGTTTTTCATCATAAACATCTTTTACGATAATTACTAATTATTGGTCTTATATACAATATTTTAAAATTGATAAATTAAGTGTTTTTTTTAATTTACAATAAAATCAAACACTTCCTACATATTAAATCCCAATATGCAAACTCACTGACATTCACATTGAAAATTACTGCCTAGGATCAAGTCTTAAAAGTTTGGCTACAAATTTTATTTTTCAAGTTTAAGAAAACAATTTTTATTTAAGTTCAAGTTAAATTCAGGCAAAGGATCCTATAAATATTTGCCTTCTTATTGTGTTATTTTCAGTTTTTAAGTCTATTGGGAATAAATATTTCTCTGAGATAATCCTACCAAACATGTTGAAGGGTAATTAAAAACATGTTTAATTTTACCATAACTCTATCGTGGCAACAATATTTTTGACTCTACTCGTAATTCAAACCCGTTTGATTGTACATTAATACTGAATAAAACAAAGTAAAAATTAACCGAAACATAACAAAAATAACTTGATTTTCGTCACGTGCATTGAACTTGGATTAATCTACAACATAAATAACATATTGTTGAAGGAAATAAATACATTTTAGTATATTTGTATTTGAAATATGTATTTGTGCACCAGTTTTAACGAAAGTAAATCCAAATAAAATTTGATTTCTTTTCACAAAAATAGTACTACATAACTAGTTGCTAACATTGACCTTTAATTGGGTAAAACAATATAAAAGTAAAATAATCGAAAACACTTGCTATTTTATGCTTGACAAGTTTTTCTTTTAAAAATGCAGAAAACCCGATGTTTACATTAGGTACTCAAATATTTTCATAAATTTTTTTATTTTTTTTTTTTTAATTTTTCAACGGAAACTTTTATTTTTTCTATCATGCTCTGACTCGTTTGCTTACATACATATGTACATATGTATGTAATTCGTTTCATGTTTTTCTTTTAATGGAAAACTGCTTGAAACAGCGAATATCAGGTTGTCTGATAGTGTAACATTATTGTTTTTAATTTTACTAGTTGCAGAGTTATAAAAGCAGTTGTCAATTCCATGCTGGAGTTAAAGAAATATCATAATTCAAAGGTGATGTAACAATAAAGAAAAAGGACAAAATTTTTATTTTATAAAAAGTGGATTTTTATTTAAAAAAAAAAAAAATATATTTTATAATGAAAATTAAAACAAATACACTATTAATACGTGGTATTATATCAAATAAAAAATTGGATTTGAAATAATACTTATAAGTTAAACAAAAGTGCTCAGTAATATAAAAAACTTTTTACAAATATAAAAAAATAAATAAATACATGTAATGTTTTACACTACATGTATATAAGTGATTATAATAAACCAAAAAATATAATAAATATTACTTATAAAATTATAAAAAATATAATAAATATTACTCGTAATTTGTAATTGTTGGGTGAAAATTAATAACTAATGAAATTATTTACTAAAAACTATAATAAATATTACTCGTAATTTAATAACTGTTGGATGACATTAATGAGATTTCTCGATTTATTGCTTTCTTCACGCAGGCTTTATTATTTTTATATAAAAAAATGTCCTTCGGAAGGTATGTTTGCCAATTGATTTTGCTTTTATTCACTGCTCCAAACATCATTAATTCTGGTCCAGTTTCCAGTCCTGAAATTGCATCCCAGTCAGGCAAATCAAATGGTCATATATCATTACAGCAACAACAGCAACAGCAGCAACAACAGTCTAATCAGAACAATCAAGATGCTCAATTAAATTCGTTAAATGTTTATGCTTCGAACTATGATATTATTGCGAATAAGCAAAATCAAAATGATCATTTTAAGCCATCTTATAAGTTGCCAGATATGGAGACAAATTTTACACCCATTCATAATGGCAATAGCATAGCACCGGAATTTGCTTCTCCATTAGGATCTCCAACTCCTGTAATAATGCAATATTTGCCCCAAACAATAAACGAAGGCGGCGTACAGTATCTGCAGTTATTACCAACGAGGCCTTTAATGGTTCCCATTGGTCCGTACTTAACCGGTAACACAGGAGTTCAATCTTTGGCATATCATCAACATTTGGCACCTAGCAACAACATTGATTATACCACTCGACCACTTTTGTCGGCATTACCAATCAATATGCCTCCACCAGCACCTTCTGCTCTAGTAGATGTTCCAGCTTCACCTTTACCATCCTATGGAATTCAGTCGTATGCTGCCAATATTACACCTTACAAACAAAATCATAGAATAAATAGGGAAACTAAAGACAAACAGTTATTGGGACCCATTACATTAAATCTTAATGAATATATACCGCCCGCAAACAATCAACAACAATCGACATTTAGTGTTCGAGGAAGACCTTAAAATGTCTATATTAATAATAATTTTATTGTTGAATAATTTTTAATAACCAAATATTAATTATCTTTACTAGATTTTTACTAATGTCATATAATTTTGTTAATTAATGTAATAAGAACAATTGTTAATTTTTCAATTAAAAATAACCATAGAATTAAATACTATACATCCTGTCTAATTAATTTTTATTTTCAAAATTGGTATCTTAAATCTATTTTATGTTTAAAAATATGTAATTTTTAAGAGATTTATTTATTTTCAAAATTCCGTTTATTAAATTATTGCACAGGTTGGCCCTTTGCTGTTATTAATTTGACGATTATATTTAAATGACTAATTAAACAGTGTAAAATAATGTAAATTACTACAAACTAAAAATTGGGTTATAAAATAAACACTTTTTATACATAAACATACATATGTATGTACATATGTACTTGCAGGGGGCATAACATATTATTTGTTGTTATTTTATCAATCAAAACTTATACAACAGTTATTTAAAACTAAATTGTCTTAATTAAAAATGATGTAAAATACTTTCTCATCTATGGGAGTATACGAAAACAAAAAGTGAATGTTTGAACTTGCAATAAATTCAATTCATCAAAACATACATAGGTGAGATCGCACGTATAAATAATAATCAATAAATTAAGTATAATTTTTTATTAACACTAATATTAATTTTAGTAATAAACTGTTTGATAACATTCATTGATAATTTGTATTAAATGTTGATTACTACCTTCCAATAAAATAATCATAGTCCATCTTTTCAATAAGCAATAAGAAGCCCTCTATTTTTCATTTCATGTTAGAAGTATGTAGTTCGTATTCTATACGCACCTTTACGTTTGTTTTTGAATTCATGTAAATACTTACAAACACAACATAACACAAAACTCCAAAAATATGGAACTTATTTCAACAACCTGCCACCAAATGTGGATGGTAGATAACACTTGCCAAACTGAGTATATAAAACTAACTACTCTGTTTGTGAATCAAACATTCGGTTTTAATAAACAAAACTCTAAAGACATAAACGAACAACCGATTTTAAAGAAATAAAAATTGTTCATTCAAATAAAGAATACAAAATCATTATCATCAATTAAGAATACTTTAAGTGATTGACAGAACATATTCAAATTATTTCTAAGAACAATACTAAAATGGTGAGTTTAATGGGTTTATTAGTTATTTGCTCTGAAAAGATGCGACTTTAGAATGTTGCATAAAATGATTTCATGCGTTCGTTGCCACAAAGTATATAAGTGTTTGTTTTTTTTTAATTTTGGTTCAATAACAAAAAACTAAACATGATCAAAAGTGAATGTTGTTAGTTCAGTTTTATATTAAGATGACTGTCTAAGTTAAAGACAGAAATATTAAAAGGATGATGAACTTGTGGTTATTACTTATTTAGAGTTATTTTATATTTGTTCCAAATAAAAAATAGCGTTTGAATTTAATTAAATAAAATTATTTTCAAAAGAATAAACATATTTTAGAATAATTATATTTAACTAAATATTTGTAACATAAATTTATTTAAGTTAAATTCAATAAATTAATTTATCGTTGTTATTTGTGACATACATTCATTCAAATAACTTTTAAATTAAAATTTTAAAAATAATAATGCTCTAGAAATTATTCTTTGCCAACATTTATTTCTTACATTTTTTTGCAATATAGACTTTTTGCGCTCAAAATAAAATACATATTTTCAACTTACCTAATAAATTACAACTTTCAAAAATAATAATAAAAATTTAATACAATTTATTTTGTTTTTGCAGCAAAAATATTTAGCTATTATTTTCAGTTTCATAATATTAATACATAGTATTGGATTAAATCATGCAGCACTTTATGTTTATAAAAATGATACAAAAGAGGATTATAAACGACAACCAACGTCAAATATTAATACTGCGACAACGGAAAACAGGGAAAGCATTCATCATCTAAATCATAACAATTGGAATTTTCATAATACATCAAAAAATCTACCAATTCACGATACTCAAATAGAGAATCGACCATATACTGACACAGAGTCTACTTATTCTCCAGCAAAATATAAAATAGTGAACTACAATAATGTGGATGTTGTATACAACAAACATCCGCTAGATAACTCCCAGTACCAGTTCTTAGAAAATATCTACGATTTAAAACAGCGAGGAAGGTCGTCTCTTTTAAAACAGCTACAAAGTCAAAAGCAGGAATTGAGCAGAGGTTATGCAGACTTCATATACGATCCATATCAGCTGGCAACTACACCAAAAGAAACCACAGTGAGGTAGGTTTGAAATTAAAAGCTTAAAATGCTTTTAAAATAACTTTTATATGTTTGTGGTTCATGAATACGCTTAGTAAAAAAAGTATTAAAATTAAACTTTGCTCAAAAGTAAAAGCCAAAAAGTTACGTTACATTGTTTCGTTATAAACACGTTTTCTACATTCTTAATTAAATTAGTATATTAGAGTGACTCTAAACTGTTGAAAAAAATGTATTGAACTTTTAGATAGTTTTTAAATGTTCATAAAAAATACATTAACAAAAGTGCATTTTTAAATAAAATAGCCTTAATATACTTTATATATCCTCCATCAAAAAGTGTGGATATATTGATTTTGTTTATTCCGTTTGTAATGTATTATGTTTTCTTATTCGCTTTCGCTATACTGGCATTCGCAACACTCGAACATGTATTATATTTTCTTAACTACATGCCCCGGGACATGTTACCTTGATGAAACCCCCATCTTGGTGTTATTGCAATCCCGGGGAATAGAAGTGCTACCAATAACTCTAGTCTGCCGGGACTATAAAATGGTAATGGCCAAATGTGTCCTCTCTCTTTCCTTGAAATGATTTTACAGTAGATCGAACCAGAGAACCACATAATCTGGTACCACGGAAAACGGTAGACCACAGGCCAGATTTTCGGATTATGTTTTGTCCGGTTATTGAAGACGTTCCTTCGTTGTACACGTGACTGTAGTTTAAACAGTTACAGTACTTTAAACCCAAATTCGCTGGAAGAGAAAGTTAGTTAAAAGACTGACACACAGTAAAGTTTATAATTCGAGATAAGTTCGGTACTGTTGCCGAGACAACAAATACACTATATAGGAGTGACAGTGGGACAAAGCGTTGGAAATGAGTTGGTGTCAAGTGTATATAATACAGGACGGAAGTAGGTGTATGCGGGCCTCACCCATCGATATACCTAGAGTGAGTGTGTCGGATGTTTCCTCAATGAGTGTGTATGATGAATGAGAAGTGTGCTGGGTTGCATGGTAATGGATGTAAGGTATCTTATACAAGTGATACCACTGAATTTTCCTTTCTTGTGCGGGTATGTTCAGGGTTTACTTTATTTATACCAGATTTACAATAGTGTGTTTTCTGTGAGTTTTATTTGATGGATTCGTATTTCGGTCTACCGGTTATGTTTCTAGATGCTGTTGCCGAATCAACAGAGGCCATCCCATCTGCGTGGTTATAAACGGAAGTGATGCTCTTGCATCTCGGAACTTAAGCTCAAGTACTTGAACCTGGTGCTTGTACATGCTGCTTGCACCAGCAGAACCATGTACAAAAATTGCAGCCTGCGTGTAAGACACTTAAAGGGACAGTTATTACAAAGTTTTTTGCACAATTCCTAAAAAAAACCAACACATTGAGAATCTTTATTCATTTTTTGAGAGTTTTAAATATGTATTTCGCTAACTTCCATTTTCTATAAGATAAAATTGTAGATTGCTTCTAATATCGGACTTAGGTACTTATGAATTTGCAAAAATATTAAGTGTGTATATAATATAATTACATTATATTTAAGTTTATAAGAAGAATATTATATGTTTGGATTAACTGAAACAACAATTAAAATTGTTTAAATCAAATATGTATTTTTCAAAGGTTTTTCTATTTTTATTTGTTTTCTTTTTAAGCTCTAATGATCACTACAAAACACGGTATTTAGCTTCGTATGTCACACCATCGCCATCGCATTCAGAAATGCATCCAAACTTACACCATCATATACCACGTATAAACAACAAAAAAACAGCAATTGTGTCACATGCAACAGGCAACGAACCATCACCAATGACGACAACATCCATAAAATCGCTTACATCAATAGAAAATATGCAGCAATTTCTAACAAAAGTCAACGGAGTAAAATACATTAGAAATAATAAATTGAATGATTATGATAACACCGCTGAAGTCGTATCTGAATTTGTTAAGCCCGTAAATAAAGAGGGTTCCAAACAATATCTGTTCGCACCAATGCGTCCTTCTTTAGAGAGAGAATTGCCATACTCTAGCAACACTTTACCTTATCCGCCTTCATTTATATCTATTACAACAACCGAGAAACCTTTATTCAGCTTTAAGTCAGAACACCATAAAATTCCAGATTTATTTAGCCATCGACAGTCCAAATCATTGTGGGATTCCTACATACCGAGTTGGCAAATAACAAAAATGCTGCAACAATATAAAACTAAGCCTGTTTTTAACAACAAGAACAATTTACATACTTTAGCTTTCGCTAGACAGTACAAAAATGAAAGAGAAAAAAGAAATGTTTAAAATAATCGTCTTTATTTATTAATTTATAAATAGCAACTATTTGCATCTTAACACAAAACAGTTTGTTTAAATATGTGATTTTTACAGTAACTCTTGTGGAAGAAAACTAGTTATGACTGTAATAAATCAATTGTAATTGAAAAAATAATAGAAATTAAATGAGTTATATTTTGCATGTAACTGCACCTCTTCAGTTTCCATAGATATTATGTGAGTACTTGTAAAGTATCTCATGATAAAACTTCATATATCCAATAAATCTCAATTACAATAGTAGCGGGCTTTTACCCTATAAATATAAAAATTATAAATTTAAATCATTATTCAAAAATACATTTTATATAATAACATTTAATTCTTAAATATCATTATTATTATTGCCATTTCCTTACTTTCAACTAATTGTTATAAATCATGCTAAGGAATATTTTTTCCCATTTCAATGGTAACGAATAACTGAAAAATCTCTGTTAAGATTAAGATATGACACAATTTGTTAAATCATTATTACTTTTACTCAAAACACACCAGACAAGGTATTTATTATGCGCCACAATAAAGCTTGTATATTTGTGGTGTATGGTTCAAGTAAAATGAAAACTGGGAGGTTATATTCATATACATACAAACCTATAAATGTATGTTGTTGGCGCAAAATAAGTTGGTAATAGGCAACATGTAACAATTTAAACCGTTGATAAACACAAATACAACATCCACACCTTGTTTGCTTTAAAAAAGAAACAAAAATTTGGTCTCTTGAAAAGTGAAGAAGATGATGTCTTAGAAATTTTCACAAGTAGGAAGTAAACGGTAAAATTGAAATTTTTTTAACATTGTTGATGGCTTAACACAGATGCTGCTGCTGCATTTAGTGGTTTTGTTAGTTATTAAAAGTGCTTCTGCAACTCCTTTGGCACATTTAATAGTGATCAAGAAATATTGTTTAAAAAACTTTAAACTTAACTGAAAACTTTTTACATTTTTATAACAAACTCTTTAAAAATATTAATAAACGTTTTATGATGCAATATGTGTTTTATGATTAATAAATAATTGGTGATAACTATGTATATAATTTTAATATATAAGATAAATAAATACACAAAACTAACACATTTTTTTAAATGAATTAAATATTTATCATATTTAACCAATTTTATATGCAAAAATAAATTGTTTTATTGTTAATAATGTATAGATATTAATTTCTCTTTAAATTTTTACAAATCGAAATGTTTTATTAACCTAATGACTTGTGGTTGCTTAAACAAATTAATAAAACGTACTGAGTTTCTTATTCATTACTCACCTTTTATAATGAAATTATAACAAAACGTGAGTTAAACTGCTAAACATGGAATCACCATAGTTCAAAACCAGTTATTTATTTAATAAATAAATTATGGGAAAATTAAAAAAATAAGATAAGGTATGAACTAAAGAACCGCAATGCAAACATATGTTTGTACGCATGACCAATTTAGTTAATGCATTTAAAGAATTTTTGTGAAATGGGATCGTACAAGGTCGTGTTAAAACAAACAATAATTAGTAGTGATTTTTAGTTGGAGGTTATAAATTAATAAAAATGCGTAGATTGACATGTATCACTCTGCAGTTTGTCTTTTCTTTTACTAATTCCATTAAATTAAAGATTTACATTCATCATCTATTTATTGTTTTATGTTAAAATTGGTTCAGTTATTGTTATGTTTTGTTTTGTTTGGAATCAATATATATATAAAAACAAAAAGTTCATTGATCTGTTTTTTGTATGAGTTGATTTTTTAAAGAGCTGATTTGCATTTCAATACATATATAATTTTTGAACTATATATTGGGTGGTTGCAGATGCAATTTCGCGCTTAATATGTTTTACATTTAAATAATATTGTTACAAGGGTTGAGTTTCCGTTGTCGAAATTACTTCTCCCTACAAATTAAACATAATAATAAATCAATTTATAACTAATGAAGTGATATTGTATATTGATTATTTAAATCGCAAAACTTGTATATAGATATAAAAGTTTATATATAGATTTTAGAAAAAAATCTAAATTGTACTCAACCTAGACACTTTTTTATTTATGTTACCCGATATTGAACTTTAAATTTGATAAACGCTTTACTCTTTCCCTTCCCAAATATTAAATGTTGGATTGCTTAACAATTGTTCCGTGGAAGGTGTCAATATATAAAGATATTTGAAACAAAAAACAAATTAGAAATAAATATTAAATCTAATTCATAAGCTACTGTAGATTACATAATTCTTTTTTATTAAAAATATTTGCAGTAATTAAATGTTTGTAGCCTTGCTTTAACATAAATCATATTTTTAACTACTTTTATACAAACATGTGTTGATTTACTTTTCAAATTCCCTCGATAATCTTTGTTATTTAGCCCGCTGTTAAATAGATTATTTAGATGATCGACAATTGTTTATACATATGTAAATTTTTTGTGAATGTGTATCTGTTATTGAATTTTTGAATGAATTGTTTTTTTTTATAACACCTTTACAAATTTTAATATTTTTTGAAAGGGTTTGCTTTTGTTTTGGAAATGGTTTTTACATAAAATTTTATAGATATGAACTTGAACTTTGTGGATCATCATTATCACAAAAATAGGTTTTTCAAGAATTTCCAATTTGGAAAAAATCTTTAAAAATATATACAAAGAGGTATTTTGTTCGAGTTACATTCATATGTATGTTTGTTATTTTCAGCGAGAGATTTAACACATGACTCTCTGTTGTCTAAGATGAGATTTCTTGTTTATGGTTAGACATAAGCTCTGCTAGACTGCACATTGGCTTAAATACAGCCACGGACGCTTGGTAGAGAAGTTGGTATATAAAGCTAATGCAACCAACGCGCCAGCTACAGTAAAAGAAATTGATTTTAATGAAAAACTTTAACGGATAAATTTAAAATAAAAACGTACAAATAAAACAAAATTAATTTGCATAGTAAATAATGAAGTGAATACAAGAAAAAATAATAATAATTACTAAAAGAAAAAAAATAAATTAATTAACTAATTCAAACAGCTTAAAAAGCTAAAATAATTAAATTCAAAATGAAGTTCTGTTTAAAAGTGGTAAGATTATAAATAAAATATATGAAAAAATACTTCATTGCTGCAAGAAATAAAATTTACATAATGTTTTAATTTTTTAGTTAATATTGTGTGTAGTTTTTATTCCAACCAAGTAAAAGTTACATCCTAACAGTTTTTTTATCTAATAGTGGTTTCACTTGTTTAACAACATCTTGCCAATTTGATGCAGGCTGTGCAAAAAAACTGCATCAAGCTATATATTTGTGTGCCGGAAGTTTTCTTATGAAGTGTGTTTCGTTAACTGGTTATCCAACCTGTTCAAATTGTTTTAGTTGTAATATACTATTAAAAAGGTCTTTTTATGGAATTGATTTAAAAATATTTTTACCGGCGTTTCTATTCGTTAGCAAACAATAATTGAAATCAATAGAAATTTATGTACTGTCTGTAATTAAAAAGAAAATTAGTAATTTAATTTCAGTTATTTAATAAAAAAATTACAAATATAATTGAACTATGACGACCTACATATATATATTTATGGTCAATATTTTTTCATTGGATTGTGAATATTTGTCGAAGTGATCGTAGTTTTTATAAACAACTTAATTCAACAGTATAATATCGTCTTAAAAATGCATATTTATACACAGATACTTATAAATATACATATATTCAAATTATTCTAAATATATTCCGAAAATATACGTTCTATAGTTGTAAAATTGGCGAATGATTGATTAATAATTATTGTTTTGCAAAAATTTACTTTCTATCATTTATCTTCATATATTTTAAAATCTGTCATGCGCATTTTAAAGAAATACACATTTTGCATAAATATTTCATAACTTTTTAAGAATATTCTACTGAACTAATGTTATGTACATACGTCTTCGAATAGGTTGCACAAATCTGAGTTCTTTGCCGTGGGAAAAATATTTAAAATTAATTTCTTCTCAAATGGAGATTAGATACAGCGTACTAATGCATTCCCCACAATTAATTTTTTTTTTATTATTTGCTTTAAAAAAGTTGTTTCGCATTTTAAGTATTTAATTGATTTTGAATTGTTTGTCTACATTGTACATATCACTCAATTACTACAAGAGTGGCATAACTTAAAACTTGCATTTTTTGATCTGAGTAATACAAAATATGCGCCGTTCATATGTCTTTCATATAGTTTTATCTATTTTCAGAAATGTAAATTTTTTCGGTGTGAGTTGGATTCATATGGTTGATAAGTAAAAATTTAGTTTAAATTAAGATGAAAATGTATTAACCTCTGCTTAAACATCAGATTCAAATTCGATTGTTTATATAAAAAATGGTAAAATGTTATAAAGTATTCAAAGCCGTTTTCTCGAAACGACGTTTTTAAAATAATGACAGTCTTGTAGTAAGTGTACAATATGTACATATATGATTATTAAGCTTCTAAAATGTCGCACAAAAAAAATTGATTTGCTCATTATGAACTAAAAAATTTAAATAATTTTTTTTTTCACGAATATTCATATTTATATACTTAAACAATGTTGGTGTATAGTTACACATAAACTTACTACGATTAATTTACTTTAACATCATTAAATTGTGTATAAAAGTACAACGTTTATCATTTTTATGGTCAAATTAAGACAAGGTCATGTAAGATATGTTTAAACATACTTTACAACACTTGTATGTGTTTATTAAGAAATATGAATTAAACATAATAATGAGTATTAAATGTTTTGTTACATAGATACATATACATATATGTACATACTTATAGTAATTGTAGTATTTTAAATGGTCAAGAAATATTTTTACCATAAATTGTATTAATTAATTGCCATTGTTCAGTTCTATTAAATATTGTGTTAAATGATGCTGTAAGTGGGATATAAATATAATGATTTTGTTTACCATAGAGAAGCTCATTGTAAAACTTTAATTAGTCACATTTTAAAGTGCTTAAAATAATGGTCGAATACTGTAATGCATATATACGTACTTATTTGCAGATTTTTTATCATAACAAATTACATTAAAAATATACATATACATATGTATGTAATGTAATAAAGTTTAATTGCATAGGTCCACAATAGTCTGTCAAATTGTTTACTTAAGTTAATAATAGCAATAGTTTATTTATGGCAAATGACCAGCATTAGTTACCCACTTACATATATTTTCATAAATAAACTCATTTAAATTTTAATATCAAGGCCATCGATAATAATTTTTACAATTGTACCAATTATTTTTTATAATAGAGTTTTTAAAAGTAGACTACATTAAGCATTTAACTCCTTACCACCGAAAATATTACATACGTTTGAATCAATTACATAAGTTGCTATAAAATTACTAATCATAACATCTTCGTTTTTAATTAACAAGTGGCCAACAAAGAGTGGCAACGTATGGTATTTAGGAGCATTTTATTTTGCGAATTTGTAGATTTTGCAACAGGTTTTTTATTTTTTATATTCATTAACCACAATTGCAACTGTAAAATTTACTATTATTATGCATACTTGTACATACATACATAAATGTATTTTCAAGAAAAGTGATTGTGTAATATTTCCATTCCAAATTTACAATGAAATTAATTTTTATCTTTTTTTAAAAAAATTTTCCTTATTTTATTTTGTATTTTAAAATTGTGCTATTAAAACACCATACTACTATTTGATCTTATATTTAAAAAAAAACTTTATAAATATTGAGGAATTTTTATATTTAAAAATCTAATAAAAATTTTCAAACTTATAAGAAAATGCAATAAATTACTTCCTGGAAAAATATAGTAATTTAATAATATCAAATTAAAGAAATATTATAAGAACACTAAAATCACTACATATAAATATTAAATTTAAATGTTTTATTAAATTGTTTATTAAATGTAGTATAAGTTATGGCAACCTTGTTCTGTTTAATTTATTCCACAACTATATTTAAGCTTAACTCTTTCATGAAATTTTATTATATCATTACAATATGTATCTTTTTTAAATGGTTGTAAAACATCATAAAAAGCTGCATTTCCAAGAAAACTTGAAAGTTTACGTTCATTGCAATATTGTGTGGCATTAACCGTATGCTGTAATACGTGATTGACTTGTAATATGGTCATGTCCATGTTTGGAGTTGCTTTGAAAATATCCCAACAATTTATGATTTTGTACAACTATTTTTATTGATTAAACAATAAATTGATCTACTCGCCTCCCCACATTTAAAAGCTTCTACTACAATTGTTTGTTTATATATTTTCAGAGTTTTTTATGTTTGTTATTTGTGACAGTGATTGCGACTGAAGAAACTAACTCAACAATAACAAAGAAAACAAATAGCAAGGTTGCGGAAAAGCTATCTTATCCAAAAAAAGTTAGTTCTATTAAAAAAAATCCCTCGAAAACTTCTTTGAAAAAAATAGCTGACATAACCGAGAAATTCAATGATCTGCCAGCCGATGATTTGGCATTTATTAAGGAATTGGATAAACAATTTAAACTGCACGGTGGAAAAGTTAAAATTAAAGTAGAAAATAAAAATGTCACCGAATCAAAAAATAGCAAAAGAACTATAGATGGAGAGTTGGGGTGAGTTATTATTGAATCACTTTAAATACATTTTCATGTTAATTAATAATATTTTCTTTTAGCTATGGTTATGCTCACAATGGTTATCAGTACAATCCTCCCAAGTTCATGTTTTATCCATATTCCCAACAAAATATTGGCAATAAGGCACCCAGTTACTTCCTAACAGGAGATGGAAAAACTGAAGTGTCAATAGAACCATCATATTCATACGAATTGAAGACGCAATCCTATATCACACAGAGTGGACCACAGATAGATGTACCTAAACCAGAACTTCAGCAACAAACGGATCATTTCCAGACACAACAGCACCATGGCCAACAACAGCATCAGTATGAAGAACCAGTTATTGTATTGCGTATACCAGGACCAGCTAAATATGCCACACATTTGCAAATGCTTTTGCAAAAATATTTAGAAATAAGAGCCGCACAATACTTGCGCATCTTAGAAGAAGCAGAACAAAGAAACAATCAGCAACATCAGCTTCAACAATTGGATTACGGACATGGAAATACTGCAATCAATGATGGTCAGGAAGAACTTGTTGAACACCATCAATCCCATGTTCAAATACCAGAGCAAAATGATTATCAACAGCAAGTACAATATGATCACCAAATTGCTGTTACACCTCAACCAGTTCAATACCCAGAAATAGATAATGTCTACCAGAACTATAAGCACAGACATTCTTCACAACCCGAACAACCGTTACAAGAACAGCAGTCTTATTATCCCCCACAACAAGGTGGAGAAGAACAGCAGGCACCTCAGTATCAACATCAAATACAATATCAGCCACAAGAACAACACCAATACCAACATCAGCCTCAATATCAGCAACAGGCACAAGAACAACCCCAGTTTTATTACACTCACCAACAACAATATGCTCAACCTGAAGGCCCGCCAGCCAACACATATCAGCATGTGTATTTAATGTCCATGATGCCCCAGGGACATTCCGATTATGAAGCATCTCAGGCTCAACCCGAAACACAACAACCTATTTATGTTCAAGAACAAACAAATCAAAATGAACACTCATCAACATTACCTGTAGCTGAAAATAATCCACGACCATCACACACTAAGGTTGTTTTTACAAACAAAAATGATAACTCCGCTCAAGATTACCAAATGTACCAGTTACCTTCCATAAAACCTAATGATAGACACACAGCCGCATCAGTGCCAGATTATCATCAAGATTTCCAGCAACAAAATCAGTATCAAAATTTACAAGAAAATCAGAACCAACAGGAAAGTTCAACCAACTACCAGCAACATTATAACAATGCGGAGCCGGCTAACCCCGAAGCAGCGCCCGTCACACAAAGACCATATAATTACCATGCCCATAGCGTTAAAGCTCGAGCAAGAGGACGGACAGCACATACAAGAAGAGCAGCTTCGGCAAAAGAGGCTGAAAATGGACTACAAAAAATACGCGAATTCGTACGCGAAAAATTAGGTGCCGAAACCGGTAGTGCTGTAGAATTTAAAACAACTCAAGTGATAGATGGTTGAACTGTGGATAGACTAAATTAAAATGGCGAGAAACCCAAAAATAACGATAGTGTTGGTCTAAATATAAAATGGTACTGATTTTTTATATCATATAAGTGTCTAAACATACATATTTTTTAATAAGTTTTGCGTTGTTTTTAATTTAATTTTGTTTTTATGTATATTTTGTGTTTATTTTTTATATACTTATGAATCTATTATACAATCTTGAATCTCAATATTTAAACTCATTTTCTTATAAATTCTCTATTGTTATAGATAACTGCTAACAATATACATACGTTGTTCTCTAAGCAAATTAACAAATAGACTACTTAATGAGTTTCAAAACGATTCTAATAAGGCAAAGAAAAGGGTTTAATATCTTAATAAACATTTCAATTGTTATTCATTAAAATTAATCCATTCATTTTATATTCTGCAATTATAATTGAAATCAATTCTCACACTTCATTTCAGTTGAAAATAGGTTTAATATTAAAAAAATTTTAAAAGAAATGTATTAAAATGTGCAATATTTTATTATAAGACTCTTCATTATATACATACGTAGTACATATGTATTTATTTGAAGTAATTCAAAAAGACTTCAAAAATACGAAAAATTTCATAAATTAAATTGTATCTGGTTCTTGATGAACTACAAATTTAATGATTATATTTAAATAAAATCTAACCAAAAATGGATTATACAGTTGCAATTGTTTGACTTATACAAATCAGTAATAGTATTTGCATGTTTAAAAACTTAATGTTATTTTATTAAAAAATGAACAGTAGAGGTATTTAAAATCTCTAACTTTATCCATGTTCCGAATATAACGCTAGAAGACGTACTAATCCAAAAACAATGGACAGTTAGTTATATTGTATATTGATAAACAATTTTATAAAAGCTTTAAATAAAACATCTGAAATTATTAACCAATAACAGTTTTAAGTGGTAATGTTAAAAATTAAGCTCGTAGTTAATATTTTGACGCCGTAATATAGACAGTATTTTTAAACGAAAATTTATTTTATTTCTTTGCATTATATATTAAAGCTTTTCTAAAATTAACCCATTCGTATGGGAAATAGTTTCAAATATACAACTATATAAGTGCTTTTATACATGCATACATATATTTTTGAGGGTACATTTTCGTACTATTATTATTTAATACTTTTTGTGAATCAAAAGTTTGTACATTTTAAATTACACGCAACTGAATAAAACCATGATTTAGTTTTATGGTCAAGCAACTCACCATCAACAAATATGCGTCAAAATTATAAGTATAGTTTTTCATAAAGAAAATAATTAAATATACAAACATTGAAATGATTCCACCTATATCCAATCGAAAGTATAAAAATGTGCAATATAATTTCGCCACACCATTTGCACTTATTTTTTCTCTACATGGAATATATTATCCACTTTTATTCATTTAATACCACGAGTAGTGATACCAACCAAGTCTTTGTTTTAACAAAAAAGGAAATATGTATTACATTAATAAACATACGTACATCACAGTCATATTGAACTATTTTTTTATTTTAAAATGAAAGAAGGAAACTGATTACTGCAAATATAATGAACTCAGTATATTTTGGTAATTTCATTACATATTTATATTTTGAAAAATTATTAAGTACAAGCAATAAACATCTGTTATATCTAATGTATCTACCAATATTTAAAACAATACCCACTCAATCTTAACAACAATAATCAATGTCTATTTAAACTTTCATTTTGTATAAAATAAACATTTAAGTGCGTGATTTAATGCTTGTATCATCTGTATATAAAACTTGGCAACTTTTTGTAGCCATCATTAATCTAGATAAACCACTTTTATTACTTACTAATTGTTGGTAATCGAATAGTTGTTAAAGGTGTTTGCTGAAACATGCTCAGGCCGAATAATTTAAAGTCAAGTTATACAAAAGAAATCTTCCGAATATTTTTATTTAACAAGTCTAAATATTACATCCATATCCATATAATCTGATAAGTTCGTTATTCAACAGTCTCTATTGCGAACTCTTCACGAATAAGCCCTTGTATAGTTCTTTCATAGTTATATCGGTCATTGGCAATTAAAGGATCGAAACTTAAAAAACCTGGCTACACGTTAAGTGGCTTTAGAATAATAAAAACAGATTAATGTAGCAGACATTCAAATCTTTTAATCAAATAAACAAAATCAATGACACTAAATAAAAATAAATATACATATCTGAAAGATTTTAGCACTGTGGATATTTAAAAGACTCGATTTTTAGTAAACCAGCAATATCTAAGTAATTTAACTAAATATTCAAAGTTATTATCATTATAATTTGTCTCCTTTTCGAACTGTACATAAACACTTGACCAAGAGCTTCCCTATGGAATTTCACAAATCGGTCGGTCTTTTAGCTAATTATGGTTAAATTTCAGTATCTACTCTTTTGTTTTCGTTGCAATTTCTTACAATCGTACAAATGACATAAGTGTTAAACTATTTAACCACACTGACATTTATCTTTTTTTCGCACAAGCACAAAAACTTCATCTTTGGTGCCAAATTACTTTTATTGTAATGTTTAAAATGCCAATACACGTCGTTATTCATAGTTTTATCCACTATAGTAACAACATTTTACGAATGATTTTACATATGAATTTTGTAAATACATATTGTATTGAAACAAAAAGGCGTTTCCTAGATGAAAATAAATAATTATGCAATTTGGCATTTTGAGACTAGTTAAATAAATTTTAAATAGCATTTGATTAAAAATTTGCTAGGGAATATTAAATAGATAGTATAGTATACTTTATTTTATTAATTGTAGAGTTTTTATAAGTTAAATTGTTAAAAATTTTAATAATTTTTATAAAAACTTGGCTCTACAAAATCTTCTTCGACTTTTGTATTTCAGAATTCGGAGATCCAATGTTTTTGAAACAAAATAATTAAAACCTTTTAATAAACATATTATTTATGTAATTAACCAGTACCTCACCCAACACAGTAACAAACAACTTTATTATATTTAAAAAGTTTTCTTCAATGAAATCTCCCACAGCATATTAACAGCTTCCTGGCATGAATTATTGGCCCAAAGACTTATTTCAGACTTGTATGCAAATCAAAACGGAAATATTTATAATTCAATGGTAAAAAGATGACATTTGCTGAAGAAATAAAAGCTAGGAAATATGTACATACATGTATTATAAACAATTAAACCAATACTAATATTATTTTATAATTTATGGGAAATATGTTTTTTTAATAGTATTTAGTAACAAGTTACAAATATTATTAAAAAAATTTGTTATAAATTTTTAATAGTGTGAAAAAATATATACATATTTAATTGATTTTACATCATACATATTACTGCAAACTAAAAAAGTAAGACAAAGAAAAATAAACAAAAATAAGATTTTTATGGTGAATGATTTTCTTGTAAAGCAGTTTCTTTAATTGTGGTAATAAAAAACTCTATTTTTAAAACAATGCGGCTGAAAAATAACAATTTATAAAAAAAACTTTCCTTGTGGGTGAATTTTTTCAGCCAAAAATAAAAAGTATTTCTTTACTTACGGCATTTAAGTTACATTTTAAATTTATATCTTTTTTTAGTACACAAATCTTGGAAAATTTATATTAAAAAAGCATTTTCAAGTGTAAATATTGTAATAGAAATATACCTTGATAATTTACAACTGATAAATTAATGGGGAAAACTGATTAGTTTAAAACAAATTAAAACATATATTTAACCTAATCAAAAATGCCAGTTCAACAAATTACAAGCTAAATACATTTCTACTTTCAAAGAAATTAAAACATTTATAATCTTATTTCAAATAGTTTTTCCGCCAAAGTAACAACTTAACTGATGTATTAATTATGCTAAAGTTATATTTTAAACAAATAATAAATATTTAAAACTCTACATAGTGTTTTAAATTCGTTTACCAACTGTGACAAATCACGAGCAATTCTGTTTAAATAGTTAATAATTAATTGACAATATTAGAAAGTTTCTGTTATTAATTTTAAACATAGTTTTTATTGTTTAAATCTGGTTGTGCAGAATTTACAGTATCTATACAAAAAGTTGAAAAAATTATTTAAATAATTACATAAATATTTACAGCTTTGTTATATTATCATTATTATCTAAATAGTATAAAATTAACATGTATAATCATATTATTTTTAATAATTTCAGAGACATATCTTGTAGGCAATATATGAAATCAATATAAACAATTAACCCATTTTAAAAATATATAGTTAAATATTTCGTTCTACATTGAAAACGATTTTAATAGGAAAGTCATTAATTGTAACACCATTTATGATTTATTTTGTATATGGCTCATTATAATTTTTGTCGAAATTGGTAGAAATATGGCTTCCGTGGTTAATTAAACATTTCACTGCTTACAATGTGAAGTGAAGTTATTTTAACGAGTTTTTCACTTTTAACAGTGACATACTAGTACAGCATCATGTAATGAAACAATACAAAAACGCATTATCATTTATACCAGATAATTTGTTATATAAACTGTTTGGCTGTCTAGTTTTCATTAAAGTTGAAAATACAACTTAATGTCTTGAGATCATAGAAATAAGTAAGAAAAGTTGTATGGCCAGCAAAAGATGTTTAAACAAACTAACAAAGTTCAACGTCATTGTCATTACGATACTAAAAACAATGTTTAAAACAATCGAACAAACGTTTAATATATATCAAATGTAATTAAACAACATTTAATTAATTACAAAGTCATCAGCACTTGACAATTGTGTAAAAATAAAATGTCACAATCTTCAATACTTTAATAAAAAGTAAAACATTGAAGAAGGTATAAGTGGATTTTTATGCTAAAAATATGAAGTAATATTTGTTTATAAATACCTGTTATCACTAAATTGATTCAGAGCCAAGTTTTTACAGAGTTTTTTTTTTTTTTTTTTGTTCATTTCTGCAAGTTTTTGAAATGCACACATTTATATGCACCAATTTTTTACGTTTCTATCATTATACAAATGCATTATGCACAAGTATTGTATAAAGTGTTCGAAATGCTGACTGCATGTTTACATGCAAGTTTTTTTTAACAGGGAAAATGTTGAATGCTACGAACGTTGGAAAATACCATTCAAAAAAGAAATTCACATTATAAAAGCTTTGGATTGGACATATTGCGAAAACAATTGATGTTTAGATACCAAAGTGAAATGTACGCGCTACAGTTAAAATTTTTATACATAACCTTGCTCATTGTAAGTAACGCCAACAGTTCGGGATAATAAACAAAATGGACATTTTGCAAATGTCCTGCTTCAGTGCAGTAATATTTAAAATAATTTAACCTAATAAAAAATGATATAAACTGAAAAATCAGTGATAAAAGCATAAAAGAAAACATGTCTAAAAACAAAAAAGAAATTGTGAAAATGTGTTGTCTAAAACTGGTTTAATTAGTCATTTTTAACAATAAAAATGGATAATTTGTGTTGCAATAATGCCAGGATAATGATCGTATAATTGTAATGATGGTGTTTGTAAAAATCAGTTTTAATATTATTCGATTTCAATAAAAAGTTAACGTAACGTGTTAATGAACTTTACACCAACATAATGTTATTTATTTTCTATTGTTGGAGTTTAGTGTTGGGTGTTGGCGTTAAATTTTAGCCAAGCGTGATAAAAATAAATCAAATCTAAGTAAAAGCGAAAGCTTTTTTCTTTCCTAAGAAACTGTAAATACAAAATAAACAATATAAAAAAGTCAATAACATGAACATTAAGATTAATCAATTAATTATAAATCTAAGGTTGCATTTCCGAAATAACAGAAAACTTTAGTTCTTGGTTGTTTGCAAAAAATAATTCTCTACGATTTAGTTGTATTTAACTGAAATCAACAAAACTAATCAAAATTTTCAAAAAGTCTCTTCTTCCTTATCAAATAAACTTATAAATTTTATATAAAATAAAATCCTTTAAATATAAAAAAATAACAATTCTATGATTAAAAATTATGAATACATTATCCTACGGGCTTCAAAATGTTTTAGTGCATAAACAATAACATAATTGGTTTAATATACTCCTACACAATTTAGTGATAAATATTGTGATTATTAGGTGTTAAAAATAAAAAAAACTTCATATGGATTGTTGAGCAGATTATTTTCTAATCACTCATTCAAATACTTAAAGAAAGGATTTGCAGTAAATAACATACCAATTTATTTAATCCATAGAATTTTTAAAAAAATTAAGCAATGTTTGTAAATCTTCATAAAGGACTAAATAAAATATGTCATAGAATCCTTCTTGTATTTTTTCAATCATCTTCATAATCAAATATGTATATTAAATTTATAAATTAAATCATTAATTTTCAAATTAGCTCAACAAAATTAGGTTTAACTATTTACCAAATTATTGTCAAGCTTCTTTAGATAATTTACTATTTTAAAACTATACTTATTACAGCATTAAAGAAATAGTTCTTTCTTAACTTTAAAGAATATTTTTTAATTCGTTTTACTTTATCCAATATTCTCCCGAGTTATGGTCAATTTCATAAATAAATATTTGTTAATTGTTATTTGTTTACATCTTGTGCTGAGATATCTCTGTCTTGATATGATATTTGTATCATTAATTAAACTCAACAGTAAAACATCTTGCAATAATTGGTATAAATAACCAAGCATTTATTTTACCAAATATAAAATTAATTTATAAATTTATTAAACATACACATTTATTCATACCTTCCTAATTAAAAGAAACACCATAAGATTTTTATAAATTTAAACTATAGCGTAATTTCTTTATTTATTCAATTTAAAGGTAGCATCTTTAGGGTTTAATGAAGCTGTAGCAAATGGACGTAATAGACGTCGTTTTGGTCCCGGCAACACTAAACAGTCTTCGGATGAAGCTACCGAAAAAACCTCAGCTGATCAAATAATAGCAGCCTCATCCAATACTGAACCTAATAAATATCGTCGAGGTGGTGCATACTCCACAGATGCAGGAGGTAAACCTTATTAGTTTATTCCCTTATTCAATTCTAAACATTACTTGCATTCTTTTTAAGACTATATATACAATACGGCCGATATTAATTTAATACAGCCTGAGCATAAACCTCTACATACTAAAATAACAGCCAAATACACTAGCAGTATCACAATACCTCATGATTCATCCGAAGATACTGAAACAGCTGAAGAATATGTGGCCAAAGCAATGGGTATGTATGGATCGCGATTGCGTGAACCTATACGCGTACCCTATGAACCAGAACCAACACAAGCTGAACAACCTCAACAGTACTACCAGCAACAGCAAAAAGAACAGGATCATGCACAACAAGAAAATCAACAATTGCTAGAACATCATCAACAACATCAAGAACAACTACTAGAACATCATCAACAACATGAACATCAACAACAGCATGAGCATCATCAACAACATGAGCATCATCAACAACATGAACAACAAAAGCAAAACGAGGAACAAAAACAAAATAATTACGAATATTTCACCTACACGCAAAAGGAAGTACAACATCCACAATATGCAACTGACGAAGAACAATCACAGCAACAAGCTTACCATCAATATTCCTCTAGACCTTCCTCCGAAAACGATCCAAAACAACAATTGGAAGAACATTTACAAGCTAAGCTTCAAGAACAAATACAACAAGCTCAGCAATTGGTAAAAGACAGAGAGCAGAAAGAACCAGCAGCAGAACGTAATGAAGCCGTTGAATCTCCCGCACCAGTGTATGAAAAAGATCCTGTCACCAGATCCTACAATATTTATGAAGAACACACCGAAGGTTATGATCCAGCACAGCAATCAGTTGTAGACCGTAACTATCGCACTAAATATATATACAAACCTGTTCCCCAATATCAAGAAAATTCCAATGAAAATGATGATAGGATACGAGTGTCCGCTTCCACGGAAATACCAAAAGCCGAAATCATGAAGCAAATTGAAAAGTCTGTCATTAAATATATGAAGGAGTTGGAAGCAGAAGGCAAGATTATTGCAGCCCCTCAAAACCAAGAATCCAAAACCTATTTTAAAGTCATAACTGTTCCAGGAAGTGATGAGAAACGTATTGCATCTTCTACAATTAAGCCAACGAAATATATTTCCTCTTCTAGTGGCAACTATCAAGATCCCTATAAACACTTGCCTTCTCACTCCATATCTCAAAACCAAAAGTACCACAAAAATTCTGTTCCTAAACCTAATTATCAGCCAGAAAACGAAAATGCGTATCAAGCGCCTGCCCATGATGTAGCCGAATTAACGCCAAATGTTGAATTTATCTACAAAATAAAAACAAAAGCACCTTTACACACCGCCACAGTAAAAACTGTTTCCAAACCTTATAATCTACCTATCAAGTCATACGAGCAATTTGATCATTCACAAGCACTAAAGAACTTGGAAGAATTTGATCTTTCTCATGTAGTTACAACCCCGGATCCAGAAGAACATCAAAGTGCTTCACCCAACAAGCCAAACAAATTGTATTTCAATTCAGAAATCTATCACGACATTAACTCCTTGCCATATAAACAAAAGCAGCGAGCCGAAGCAGAATTCCGTAAATTAAAGGCTGCAGCAGAAAATCATCCAGACTATAAAGGTTACGCCGCTTCCAATTCTCAAGGTGGCTATTATGCAGAACCACCAACTGATCGTGAACCTGATCGCGAAGCTTCTAGTTCCAATGTTTCCGAAGATGGCTATCCTATAATGAACCCTTACCAACATGTTCTAAAGAAGGAGGCAATGCCTACTAAATATGATGATGCCAATGCTAGTTATGAGCAGCAACAGCCTCGAAATCATAAATATAAGCCTCTAGAACTTGATAGTTATAATCCTAAATTTAATAACAATCCTGAGGGTTATGGATACCAACAGACTTATAAGACACACCTAACAAACAGACATGCTCCCGGTAAAAGAGGTAAACGTGGTGGCACCGCTCATCAAAGTGCAAACAAAAAGTCAACACATCGTGCTTCTATAAAAGATTATGAAGCTAACGTTGCTCTACGTCCACCACCAAAAAATTAAAAAACTAATCTATTATTTTAATAGCCAACGCAAATGAAATTACTAGAATTTTTCTTTATTTATTTATAATTAATTATTTTATAATATCTTTTTATAATAATTTTAATGCACCTGAAGTTGTGCTGAATTTTAATTTAATAACAATTACTATTGTTTAATTGTACACCAATTTCAAATGATATTAAAAGTTTGTGTTATTTATTTTTAATAATTTTTATAAACAATAGTCTCGTGTGTTTTATTTTTTACAATAATCTTGAAAGAAAATCTCCAAATGAAATTATTACTTTACATAAAGAGTGAACTATGTAATAGAATCTGCAAATCAATGACAAAAAAATATTGCATAGCAAACCAAAGTTATATAAACTTGCACTATAATTCAATACTAATACTTATTGTCTACTTTTTAATTATTAAAATGTTAAAATAACCGGTGAAATTTTCTTTTAAACTACTTTTAAAAAGTAAATTTTGCTCCCTACATGATTCGTGTTTTGAAATGATTATTATATTTTATTAAGTAGTGCATTACTTTACTTTTATTAAATGATTACAAATTCGTTAAAATTATTGGCAAAATATATCGTATAGCAAATAAATGTCTCAAAAATTTTAATATAATTCCATATCATTTATCTGTTTTAAATAAATAAATGTTAAAATTATCAGTGAGAGGGTCAACGGACAATGAACGCATACTAAATCCAACATATACAATCATTATTAGTTAACATTGAGTTTGCAGAACTTAAATTTATATCCATCGATGCATATTTACCAAATCAAATGTACACAAAATTGGTAAATCCAAAAAAATTTATAATATTTATGCTTTCAAATAAATAAATAAATGTTAAAATTATCAGTGAAAGGGTCATCGGAAAATAAAAGCATACTAAATCCAACATATACAATCATTACTAGTCTACTATATGCATTACTAGTTAACATTGAGCTTCCAGAAGTTATACTTATATCCATTGACGCATATTTCCCCAAACAAAATTGGTAAATCCAGCAAAATATAATAATAATAACTGAAAAAAATCACAAAAATTGATATGTATTAATAAAAATATTCGTATTACATGATGTACAAATTTTTTCTTTAAATGCAGGGAGGCCTACTTTTCCATCTCAGGCTATGTGTTAATCAAATGACATAGCACTATTACTCAAAGCTTCTTCCCTGATCAAGTTACTTTATCTCGTGTTGTAAGGCTAAATGGTAATCCTTTTGTAACAACAAGAAATCCACACAAGTACGTTACAAATAATATCGTATCCATTTGTATTTGCATATTTCATATATCTTTGTTGTGAAGTAATCCTGCTATGTTCAAAGCCTTTTTGAAACGGTTCAACGACAAAATCCTTCTCCAAAAGAGCAATTTCAACATACATAGAGGTTTCAATCCGTAGTGATCTTATTCCTTTTGGTAATTTATAATCTTATCAGCTTTTATACACAGCATTTTTATTCCATTAAATTATAAGCTCGCTATAGTTGAGGCACAAGACATTTTTTGTTGAATTTTTAAAAATTGATTTATCAAATCCAAATTTACTTTCAAACAATATCTATTTTGCTATTAAATGTCAATTTCAAAAAATGCGATTTCGCCTTGTTTTATTTATGTAATGAACACAACCAATCACAAATGTTTGGGAACAGAGTTGCCAGAAAAAAGCTAACATATATCTCCAAGTTATTATATTATTATATTATTTATGATAATTTGTAACAATTATTTGTTATTGAACATATATTATATCTGTGGAAGTAACTATTGCCAATACCATATCAAATTTTCAAAATGTTTGTATATTTGTTGACGATATTATTTTAATATTTAGTCAAGAAAAATTATAAAATTTTGATTTCTTTGTTCCTAGCCGCCGAACAAAATGTCAAAGCCGCCGCCGCCGAAAATTTTTCAGCTTAATACTTCTTGAAAATTTCGCCATATTTTGTACAATTTACAGAACACTTTCGCTAAATTTATGGAATTTTACAATATAAAATATATAAAATTAACTTGTTTTCATTTAAGCAAGTTTTCTTTTATCTAATAATAAGCTGCTCATTGAAATTTAGCCGGTGTAAAACTTTGCTCAACGTTCGATGTATATGCCTCGCCTCAGATATTTTCGTGTTTTATGCGCCGCTGCTTTTACTGCAAACCAGCTTCGTTGACGTCAACAGAGCTATACCTTTTTACATTGCTGGTATGTCATACCGTCAATTCTGCCGACTGCGAAAAGAAATTCTGCTAGAATTTTTCGCGCCTAACTGTTTTCTGCATTTTTTATTTGCAAAAAAAAAAAATTTTGTGGCGTGTGTGAAAAATTGTGTGAAAGAAAAATCAAATTGGAAAAATTAATTGTATAGAATATACTAAAATTTGAAAGCAATAAGATAAGAATCATGATGTAATAAGTGCATCCTGATAAGAATAATTAAGTTAATTACAACTAAACAAAAATTTTTCTAAAACAAACAATCAAATGTGCGAATAGTCGAATGAATTGGAGCAGACCATCCGTAAGTGAGAATTTACAATAATGAATTAATGTACCTTAAACGTTGAGCATAGGAGATTTTGTTTTCGAATGCCAATGAATCGAATCCTGATGCTGTGACATGGCAAATATTGCATCTGTACGAATTGAAAGAAATATCCAACCAGAATCTTTGCCATGATATTGTTCAATGGTATTCCATCCCGGAATGTATTCCCCACAAACATGTTGAAAACGACGTTCCGTAAATGCAGCAATATATGTCGCCCCAACGAAATATCTGCCATTGAATTACTAATATAAAAACAAAAAGTGTCCAATGTGTGTGTGAGTATAAATTCCAAATAGCAAAGAACTTATTGTTGCCATTGCAATTTGCAAATGATGAATTATCATAAGACGAGGCCCACTACTTAAACAAGGTTGAAACAAAATCCGCATCATCATCTCAATGCAAATTATTTACCCGCATCGCCATTCACAGAACAAAATATGTAACATCATGATCAAGAATAGCAGCTGCCAAAGGAAACCTCCAATTGTGTTACTGATGCCACTAAAGATTCGGATTGTCTCAACTATTCAATTGGTAAAAGTACCTCTACTGCCGCTAAACCATATTAAAATCAAATTGAGATTGTCGAAAGGTAATTAAATGTACAATTTATTGCTAAATGTTTTTTTTTAATCATGTCCATATTTAATTTAATTTTAAAGACGTCGTTCCTCACGACTTGCTTCCTTGGACGATGATTTTCTGGCTATTGCACAGCATGAACGACATATTTCTCCTACCAAAGTTGTAGTACATGACAATATCAAGACAAAAACCAAAAATGATACGATCCGGTAATGAAACCTGCACTTAATATTCGCAGTAGTTCAACTAAAGGAGAAAACGAAACTCGAAATCTCTTGCGAACTTTTACATGTTTCAGTTGTGCCAAAGTATCTGCCCTGCCGTGAAAAGCCGTTTAAAAATATTTACACATTTTTAGAAGACAAAAGGATCAATGGTATTATGTCAGGAACAGGCGAAAAGATGATTTACTACCGTTCGATTTTTTGGAAATAAATGTTATGCGTTTAACTGAACCTCGTCATATATAGGCAATTGACAGGCAAAACATTGCCATTGGAACATGCACATACATTGTTGGATGGAACGTTTCACTACTCCCCCGCTTAGTAAAGTACATACAGTACATACGGCTGTACGTGATTGGTCTAAAATATCTGCAGCTCGTTAGGTTGTAGTAACTATAGCCACTACCATGGATTTACCACATTGTTTGTTAATGGGTAAAGTCACCTCTGCCATACAGTTAGTAGCAAGGTAAGTCTAAAATATAAACAAAGCCTAAAATATAAGCAAAGTATAAACAAAAACATTTCTTAGTTTTACTAATTGCTTTTTCAAAAATCGAAACTGGTTTAACTTAAAAGAGTTAATTTAATAAGTGAAAACATAAGACCTTTTTATTTTTATTAATTTTTTAATATTAAATTCAATTTCACTTTACGGTATTCTTAAATTATTTTATTTTTTATGAAATTTGGAATAATTTTTAGAACTACTTTTCATCTCATCTTTAATTGTGTTTTAAAAGTTTTAATACACGCGACATTAATGAAAGTCTGCTGAAAATCAAAGAAGTTCTAAAATATAGCGACGTCGGTCGGAATATAGTGACAATATCGGGCGAAAAAAATGATTATTTAAGCCATTTTAATTTCTGAAAATTGTACTTATTTATTTTATCTTATGGTGAGAAATGTTTTTTCTGATTTTGGGTATTTTGTGGAACGGTAATATTTTCTATCAGTACATTTTCCTGTGGGCTACAAGTTATAAATAGTTATATCATGGTCAAAATTGATGTTTCTATACTTTCAATAATTTGATGATATCCAGTGAGAATCTTTTTTTAGGAATGAACAAACACATGTCATCATTTATCTTTGGTTTCTAGTATGTGGAATTGTAGTTTTTAAATTTTGATTTTAATTTCAATGGAAATAGTCTTCGTAAATACTATTCCTTAAGAAAATGTTACTAAAACTTAAACTAGATAAAAAATACTAATGCATTATTTTCCCTACAGGTTCCTTAGAATTTAGTTGTCACTAGGAAGGACGTATCAATTGGAATAAACCACTATAATGCCAAATTAAATGCAGTGTAATTGGCAAATATAAAAATATAAATAAAATTTAGAATTTACTAAAATTAGAACATATACTAAAGTAGTTTATTTTGTTTCAGATTACTCAGCTATGGCGATAGGCGCAAATACGTTCCCACGACAATCGGTTCTTCGCACTGAAACAACTTGGAGTTCAACGAACAACGACCAAGGATTGTCAACTCAGCCACACCGACTTTACACGTGTCGCTGCTACAACAAAAATACAGTAGCTGAAACATCTGGGTGAGCGAAAATTTAATTCAAACTTAAAACAGAAAAAAAGAACAGTAGGTCGTGATTGGACAGATAGTTTATATAATTAAGCTAGGACTCGATAGAAACATATTTCTATAATTCATGTTGAATTAAATATAAATTCCTTAACTGCGTGTTTTACCCCTAAATTAACAGATAGTTTATATAATAAAGCTAGGACTCGATAGAAACATATTTCCATAATTCATGTTGAATTAAATATAAATTTCTTAACTGCGTGTTATTACCCCTAAATTAAAATAAATTCTGTTTAGAGTAGTTATGGATTATGTCATTGTCAAAACTAATGTTTCTGTATCTATCATTTGTATAATACCCAGTGAGAATCCGCTTTAGGAATGAACAAACACATATTTGATTTCAAATATGTATTGTACAATCATTTACAATTGGTTTCAACTTACTGTAAGATCGGACTCAGAAAATGTTACTACCCTTGGTGACTAATAACCCCTAGCTTTTGATGGCATGGTACCGGAAAGTTCTGACGGGGTTGCACCTTCTAATAGGGTAGTAACGGTTACACATGTAACCAGCTTAGAAACGTAAGTTTTTAGTTGAACTAAGCAAATGATTATTCATTCCTGAAGTTATGGTTTTCACTGGTCTATTATATAAATGCAAGACATGTAGAGATATGATTAAAGTTCAGGACGCTTCCATAACTACGTGAAAGAAATGCATATCAAATAGAAATATTGAAATTAGTTTTCCAATTTTTTTCTTTGTTGGAAATAGAGTGACCACAAGTTTTTACTATTTTCGCAATTAATGCTATATAGTAAAGGAATCTACGGTAAATTTTAGGTTTAATAAAAATTTAGTTAACACTTTCGTCACAGTTTTTAACTGGAGGTATCAAGAAATTTTTTTAGTATACCACAAGGGTGATATTGACAAGGATATTGACCGGTACTAATATCATTAAGTTCCTACGAGTCCTGGTTTGTCCGATTTATGATCTTTAATTTTTATATTTTTTTTTTATATTTTTTTTAATTTTTAAGAAAATGTTACTAAAACTTAAACTAGATAAAAAATACTAATGCATTATTTTCCCTACAGGTTCCTTAGAATTTAGTTGTCACTAGGAAGGACGTATCAATTGGAATAAACCACTATAATGCCAAATTAAATGCAGTGTAATTGGCAAATATAAAAATATAAATAAAATTTAGAATTTACTAAAATTAGAACATATACTAAAGTAGTTTATTTTGTTTCAGATTACTCAGCTATGGCGATAGGCGCAAATACGTTCCCACGACAATCGGTTCTTCGCACTGAAACAACTTGGAGTTCAACGAACAACGACCAAGGATTGTCAACTCAGCCACACCGACTTTACACGTGTCGCTGCTACAACAAAAATACAGTAGCTGAAACATCTGGGTGAGCGAAAATTTAATTCAAACTTAAAACAGAAAAAAAGAACAGTAGGTCGTGATTGGACAGATAGTTTATATAATTAAGCTAGGACTCGATAGAAACATATTTCTATAATTCATGTTGAATTAAATATAAATTCCTTAACTGCGTGTTTTACCCCTAAATTAACAGATAGTTTATATAATAAAGCTAGGACTCGATAGAAACATATTTCCATAATTCATGTTGAATTAAATATAAATTTCTTAACTGCGTGTTATTACCCCTAAATTAAAATAAATTCTGTTTAGAGTAGTTATGGATTATGTCATTGTCAAAACTAATGTTTCTGTATCTATCATTTGTATAATACCCAGTGAGAATCCGCTTTAGGAATGAACAAACACATATTTGATTTCAAATATGTATTGTACAATCATTTACAATTGGTTTCAACTTACTGTAAGATCGGACTCAGAAAATGTTACTACCCTTGGTGACTAATAACCCCTAGCTTTTGATGGCATGGTACCGGAAAGTTCTGACGGGGTTGCACCTTCTAATAGGGTAGTAACGGTTACACATGTAACCAGCTTAGAAACGTAAGTTTTTAGTTGAACTAAGCAAATGATTATTCATTCCTGAAGTTATGGTTTTCACTGGTCTATTATATAAATGCAAGACATGTAGAGATATGATTAAAGTTCAGGACGCTTCCATAACTACGTGAAAGAAATGCATATCAAATAGAAATATTGAAATTAGTTTTCCAATTTTTTTCTTTGTTGGAAATAGAGTGACCACAAGTTTTTACTATTTTCGCAATTAATGCTATATAGTAAAGGAATCTACGGTAAATTTTAGGTTTAATAAAAATTTAGTTAACACTTTCGTCACAGTTTTTAACTGGAGGTATCAAGAAATTTTTTTAGTATACCACAAGGGTGATATTGACAAGGATATTGACCGGTACTAATATCATTAAGTTCCTACGAGTCCTGGTTTGTCCGATTTATGATCTTTAATTTTTATCCTGAAAGCATTTCCTGAAGAACCTTACATTTTATATTACGTTTCTATACATTTAAATAATTTTTCTTACAATCTAACTGATGTTTCTGTACCATCAATCATTTGTATTGTAACCAGTGAGAATCTGCTTTAGCAATGAGCAAACACATATTTGATTTCAATTATGTATTGTACAATCATTTATCTTTGGTTTCAACTTACTGTAAGATCGGACTCAGAAAATGTTACTACCCTTGGTGACTAATAACCCCTAGCTTTTGATGGCATGGTACCGGAAAGTTCTGACGGGGTTGCACCTTCTAATAGGGTAGTGACGGTTACACATGTAACCAGCTTAGAAACGTAAGTTTTTAGTTGAACTAAACAAATGATTATTCATTCCTGAAGTTATGGTTTTCACTGGTCTATTACATAAATGCAAGACATGTAGAGATATGATTAAAGTTCAGGACGCTTCCATAACTACGTGAAAGAAATGCATATCAAATAGAAATATTGAAATTAGTTTTCCAATTTTTTTTCTTTGTTGGAAATAGAGTGACCACAAGTTTTTACTATTTTCGCAATTAATGCTATATAGTAAAGGAATCTACGGTAAATTTTAGGTTTAATAAAAATTTAGTTAACACTTTCGTCGTAGTTTTTAACTGGAGGTATCAAGAAATCTTTTTAGTATACCACAACGGTGATATTGACAAGGATATTGACCGGCACTAATATCAGTAAGTTCCCACGAGTCCTGGTTTGTCCGATTTATGATCTTTAATTTTTATCCTGAAAGCTTTTCCTGAAGAACCTTACATTTTATATTATGTTTCTAAACATTTAAATAATTTTTCTTACAATCTAACTGATGTCTCTGTACCATCAATCATTTGTATTGTAACCAGTGAGAATCTGCTTTAGCAATGAACAAACACATATTTGATTTCAATTATGTATTGTACAATCATTTATCTTTGGTTTCAACTTACTGTAAGATCGGACTCAGAAAATGTTACTACCCTTGGTGACTAATAACCCCTAGCTTTTGATGGCATGGTACCGGAAAGTTCTGACGGGGTTGCACCTTCTAATAGGGTAGTGACGGTTACACATGTAACCAGCTTAGAAACGTTAGTTTTTAGTTGAACCAAACAAATGATTATTCATTCCTGAAGCTATAGATTCCACTGGTCTATGACATAAATGAAAGATACGTACAGATCTCAATATTGCTCAAGACATATCCATAAGCCCTTGTCTATATTCGACAAATATTTATCAGAGCTCTTAACAAAACGTCCACAGAACAATTGCCAATTTTTTGTTTATGTTAATGCATAGTGGTAACAAAATGCTGATTTTTTCAAGACAACACACAGATAATTTTACAGAAATAATGCTATATTTTATAAAAACAATTAAAATTAAATGCAAATTTTGTAAAAAAAACACTAATTTTGTTAAAAATTATGTAAAATCAATTTTAATTGCACAAAAAAAATCTATAAAAATTTTACAACATAATGACATTTATATCAAGACAAAGTTATCTAAACAATTTTTTAGACAACATTGTCATAACGATGCTATAACGCTAATAAATGTTGTCTTACCTGCAAATTTTTTATCATGATAACAATTTGACGTTTAGCATAATAAAAATGTATCTAATCTAGACACGAAATAGCTTTGTCAAACTGAAATTCAATTTAAATGGACATTTTTAAATAACTTCACAATGTTCTTAAATTTTTGTGGGAAATATGAGAGATCACAGATTTTTAAAGATTATTATTATAAAATGTAAAATTCTATAAATACTCGAAGTAGTAATAAAAACTGAAATATAGGTGAAGGGCATTTTAGATCCGGTTTAGTCAAATATAGCTCTCTGACTGGTTTTAGTTAAGATTATTTATAAACCACAATTCCATTTGATGCAAAATACATTGACTTAAACAAATATCCAAACATTAAATTTAAAATTTTTCAGTATAACAAATTTTTTCTGCAAGATAAAAATTTAACTCTTTATATTAAGTTATTAATAATTAAATAAGCCATAAAGTAAGAAATTAAATATGATTTTTGTATACATACATTTAAAATAAAAACTAAAAATAAAAAACTTAAAACAAATAATTGTAACAAAAAAAATAAGTTTAATCAAATAAGAAGTTTCTTTGAATAACGATTTAAGAACAAAATAAGTGAAAAAGTATTTTCTAAGCATAAGAGAAAAAATAAACAAATTATTCATTATTGTACCAAAAACAAAAAAGAAAAACATCTCTATATTATAAAAAATCTATTAAAATTTAAAACAAATATTTGTTTTTGTATATTTTTACAAAAAAAAAAAAAAAAAAAAACATTGTAAAATATCTATAAAATTTTTGATGAACACATTATATTTTATTCTATTGAACAAAAAATAATTGTAACCCTATACATACTTTATAATTTACATTTGCATAACTTTATTGTTAAACTACTGCGATACTTACGAGTCCCTCCAGTGGTATATTTATAAGAAAAACTTTTGTGATTTGCTTATTCGGATATCAATTGGCGATATCCGGCTTATACCATGTCACCCAACGGACCATGCAAAAACAGGGTAGTGGATGCTATGGTATAAGTTATTTTTTTTTTCTCTAACTAACAAAACTTACTATTTTCATGACCTACTAAAATACATGTGCTGTGTAAACTTAGTATAAGTAAATCTATTGTAAAATTGCTTTTTGAAAATGTAAACATCCACATGTACAACTGACGTGACAGTTCTAGTAAAATTATATATACATTTCTGAACTACAAAAATGTTCTTGAGTCACTAATTTTGACTTACGTTCAGTAGTTCACTTTTTATCGGTCTTGTTATAAACCTTGTTAACTAAATGAATTGTGTTTAGCGTAGTTATGGATTATATCATGGTCAAAACGCATGTTTCTGTACTATCAATTATTTGTATCATAGCCAGTAAGAATCTGCTTTAGGAATGAACAAACACATGTTTGATTTCAAATATGTATTGTACAATCATTTATAATTGGTTTCAACTTACTGTAAGATCGGACTCAGAAAATGTTACTACCCTTGGTGACTAATAACCCCTAGCTTTTGATGGCATGGTACCGGAAAGTTCTGACGGGGTTGCACCTTCTAATAGGGTAGTGACGGTTACACATGTAACCAGCTTAGAAACGTAAGTTTTTAGTTGAACCAAACAAATGATTATTCATTTCAGAAGCTATAGATTCCACTGGTCTATGACACAAATGAAATATATGTACAGATCTCAATATTGCTCAGGATAATTCAATAACTTTGCAAACTGAAATTCAATTACCAAAACATCGTTTTAAATCATTTTTTTAATTATTGAAGTTAAACCAAACGAAAAATTGTATGTAAATGCAATCACTATGTATTATTGATTTCATAAACATAAATTTAAAGTTTTTCCACACATTTCAGTTTAAAAGGCTTTTGATAATTGATACAGGCTCGATTTCGCAATATGGACAAATGTGTGAAATGTCGGTTTGTATTATGTGCCTGTATCTAAGTCTTAGTTTGATAAATTTAGTACTTCCCGATAGGTAATATGTCATGGTTATTATGGTTTAGTGTTACGAAAACAGCAAATTATAATTTTTGTTTTTATATTTCCAATATATTTAATAGCCTCAAATTATTGTTATTATCTCCACAGAGAAAATTGTCGAATATAAGATTAGACTGAACATTTTTTAACACTATAAGCTACGTTGACGCTATCTTTTCCGATAGGTAATATATTTGGTAAGATTAGAGTTCGTGTATTTTAATGCTTGTTTGATTTAGACTGATGTGTTTAGGAAAATTAAAATGCGGCGATGTGTTGTTTGAATTCTATTACAAAGAATGTTTGGAATATATTTTGAATATAGGAGAATCTTAACTACAAAGGAAATTATTTAATAGATTAAAAAATATGATGTCCCCTTTGTCACCAAACAGTTCTTTCCATCTTCAAATATCACATTGTGAATAGGTTTGGTTTTATAAACTTTGAATGTGATTCTAAGTGCAGAATCTTAAATAGTGAAAGATGTTTTAGGAGAGGAGCCGTATAGAGAAAAGACCGCAATTATGTACAGATCAGATTATTGACATGATAATTGAAGTTAATGTGTAAATGTTTGCAGTTAAATTTTCTGTTTAATTAACATTTAATTATATTTAGGCTTTTATTAAGATCGTCAGTAATAAATTGTAAATTTCCTTTCCATTTGCATTTGTTATTAAAGATAAAATATATTTAATTCCTTATAAAAGTACATTTTTCTATGATAAGAAACCAGAAGAAATATTAAGTTCATATGTTTTTTTCCTACAAATCAAAAGATGTTTGTACTTAGACAATGATAGATTTCCTATTTTGTTTATCAAAGAGTTAATGTCGATGGTTCTATTTTTTCCTTACCGATTTTCTTAATTATATAAAAGTTGTCTGCATAAGCACAACTTGAGCATTACTTCCAAGATACTTGGATCTAACTTCGACGAATACCTGACTACCAACTTCGGTCAAATATTTATTAAACTTCAGAAGATATCAAATACAATTCTTGTTTTGTACTCTTTATAATAATTTTTTTATACGATCGCTAAATTTTTATATAATTTAAACGGTCTTTCTAATTACTTTTCTAAGGACTTGTATATTAAATAGCCTACGGACTATTCTAAGTAATCCCTCTTGAATTTAGCAGCTGCTCTGTTATGAGTAACTAAGCTACTCTAGATGCTTTGTTACGCTAAAAAAATTAAATTAAACTGAAATTCGGATTACTCATTCACTTATGTATGTTAAGTTTAATCTTTTCATTTTATCAATGAAGAATTATCATATATGTATTTCTATTAAGTGGTGTTAGAAGAACTGCATTTGCTACCAAGTTTTTTATCATTTCTTTAACTACTGCTCCATACAATTGTCTGAAGTTGTAGCGCAAGTATGTGGTTTGTGTCGACAGACAAAAACAAATAAACATATCCAGCGGGAAAGAGATCCAGTAAAGATGTCTTACTAAAGGCATTATTCTGTAGACACAAGTATATCCAGTCGCATTGTAAAATCGTTTCAATTTTACACGGCATGTCATTAGCATTCTAATATAAGACTTACTTAAAAAGCCTGTAGATGGTCTTCCGTTGAAGGACTATTTGAAGTTCCTTCGTTGAAGCCTTGTATGAAGGTCTTGCTTTGAAGACACATTAGAAGATCTTCAGTCGAAGAATCTATATAATGTCCTCATAGGAAATTACATTAATAGTCATATTGACTTATTCATTAGAGCTTCTAAATGTTTTATAAAACAAATTTAGGTTCAACATTTGATACATAAACCTTTGATAAATGTACATGAATCCTTTTAGAAGAGGAAGCAGAGTCCTTCTGGAATATCTCATGCGAGAAGGCAATGAGAAATGAATTTCGCAACTTTTATAAAATGTAAATATGACTTTTAGTAGGCCCACGAATCGAAGTCCTAGCATTTTTTCCCGCTGCTTACTTATGCCTTTGTTTTTCATCTGAATATCGTAATTTTTGTGTTTTTTGGTGTTTTATTAAAATTTTTATTTTTATGCTACCAATATTTTATTAGCATTGCTACTTCATTTAGGTGGAAGTTGCTATAAAATTTTTGGTTATTTGAAGTATTTAATTGCTACATTGAAACATTTCAATACCAATGACTGTGCTTCTGCTATTAAAAGTTCCCTTTTTTGGCTACTACTATAACTAGAGCTACTAAAATCTGAAGAAAGTCATAGTAAGTGATTTGTTTGCTGCTAGCTTTTGCACATTTTTAACTACAAAAGCGTGTTGTTACTACAGCTACTTGTAGTATAGTTATTTAAATATTGCTTTTAAGTATTGCCAGACTATATATATTTTTATTTTATATGCTTTGGTTCCTTATTATACAAAATTCAAAAAGTGTCATTTGAAAAACAAAAAAGTACCAATAAGTAATAGTACAAATCCTCAAGAATTTCTATATTTAATTTCTGTTTTTATAATTCCATATTTTTAGATTCAATATCACTTAAAGAAAAAAAGAACAGTTATTGTTTCTACATGACCAAAAATAAATTTACTGTCAAAATATCATAATTCTAGGTTTAATTTTATGTTTCTAGATTCAACACCAGTTAGAGAAAAAGTACAAGTTAGTGGATCTGCATGACCAAAAATACATCTACTGTCAAAATATCATTATTCTAGCCGTTTAGGTTGTGTGATAATCAATAAGTCAGTAACGCTACTCTTTTGTATATACATATATGTTACATATTAATACATCTTTTTAATTTGTTCCACAGTTTATTTTATCCATATTAATTTCCGAAAGGTGTTTATTCCACCACGTAGTTTTTTTGTAATATTGTTACTAATTTGTGCTTTGCACTATTATAATAGAGCGATTATTATCGGAAATAAGAGAAAGTTGTTGAAATTTCTCCAAGTTTGGTAACAAATTTGGAAAGAGACAAAGAGATACATGGATAATGATTGGAAAATTATCACTTCCATATAGTTTGTTTTCAGTTTCGCACTTTGACTGAATTTTCATGAAAGGTGAATAAAAAAAACGTCAATACTTCTTTAATTATGAAGGCCAAAACTTTTAGATGGTGGAATGCATGTGTTAATTATTGTAATTTATTTTAGCTTGAATAGTGACAATAATCGTTAGACAGGTAAATTGATAAGAGTTTTGTATTAGAAGTGCAACTCATCCGTACGAATAAGTTGCTCTGTTTTTGATAAAAATAGTTTATTGGAATACCAAATGTGGAATGAAATTGTATTTCCTAGAGAACTGTAGTTTTGGGATAGTGTGTTTTATTAATAGTTGCAATTCATTATACATACATTGTTCAAATAGCCTATAATATTCCATAAGATCATGTTGATATTCATAATTAATTTTAAAATAAATTGATAATAAGTAAAAGACAAATCAAATCAAATTGAAATCACCAGAATAGTTATCTGTTTCAAGTGTATACCCATAACGAAAATCTGGAGTACACTCAGTCCATAACTCTCTGTAACCCTCTTCAAACTATACAAACCATCATTCCGACGAATTACCCTTTCCACGCGAACTGAATCCCCAAATGTATGTCGGTATTGAAAAAACAGCATGACTTCGGTGAGTCTTATTCCTAAATAGTTTATTTATATTTCCATTATTTCATCTACATAGATCTTATTTGCCGTTTGTTGTTTTGTTGATGGTTGATTTGGTGTTTGCCTTGAATTTTGCCTTTAGGTAAGATTTTGGATAGATGTTGTCGCTTGATCAATGTGGTCAATTATAATAGATTTGTTTTATTGCTCATTATGTTTGTTAAGATTGTTGATGTTGACGTTTTTGTTTAGTAGTGGATTCTGTTAACTGATCTATTGGGTCCTTGGAGAAATTGATTTTGAATTACTAGCTTTAGTGATTAAAGCAATGGTGTCGTTATTGTTGAGATGTCTATTGTTGTATATTATTTGAAAGGTTTTTTGAGGATTATAATGACTTCAATTTCTTTATTTTTTATAAATATTAGGTTGTCTGATTAACCACATGATTTTTCACTCTGGAATGGAAACAGGAAATTATTGAGTCGTTGAAAACGAGATTTTTATTTACTTAACAAACATTATCGATTGTTCCTGCTATAGTTTCTTTATAACTTTCATCAATATTCTATTGCTGTACTTTCTCAGATTTTCGACAGCTCTTCTGAACAATTATAGCATTTAAAGAAGTGATTGCGATTTTGTTGACCTGCAAAAAGAACGCAACTACTAGTACTCACATATTTGTTAAATACTTACTAATAATTTAATTTCTAATTGCACTGCCTCAACTATGACTTTAATCAGTCCTGTAAATGTATTTCTGTTCATTAAATTTGTTATTTATATTCCTAGCAAAAATTAACTTTTCTTTCATAGTATTCAAATGTGGAGCTTGTAAAGCAAGGTTGGCAACAGTTTCGAAATGGTGATAAGGTAGCGGTATCCGTATTTTGACTTATTTTGGTAGAGATATTTTAGCGTTATCGATATTTTTCGACTTATTTCGGAAATGTTATTTTAGCATTATCGGTATTTTGGCTTATTTCGGTATCGGTATTTTATCGGTAAGGGCAGTAGTGCTGAAAAGGTATTTAAGCGGTAGCAATACCTAAGCGATAACGGTAACCATCCTTGTAGTAAACAGATAAATAAACATAAACTTGGTAGAATTGTGACAACAGGTGTTATTGACACACGATTTAATCAAACCAAAAAAAGACAATTCCACTCAATATAGGAAATTGTTACTATATTTGTTGAAGGTGACAATAGTTCATTTACGCCGGAGGAATTATTTGTAGACTGTTTAAAAGATACATACTTTTACTAGTACAAAGAGGACGGTCTAGGAAAAAGGGGAAATCAATTGTTAAAAGCGTGAATAATATTAATAAAAGTGCATGTAGAATAGGAGGAAGAGAAAAAATTGCAATTAAAATAGGGAAAAAAGGTGGTGGTGAGTGACTAAACATTTGTACATAAATTATGTTTCGTATAGAAGTTTTTTATTCGAATTTCATCGTCTAAGCCGTAATTTTAAGTAATTTAACTGAAGTGTTCATTTATCGATCCATCTTCATCAAAGTCGGTAGGAAGATTTCACCGACCATAAAACTTGTTTATGTTGAATTTCATATATCTACTCGTATTTTAATGCCAGTAATGAGTGTTAAAGGTGCCCTTTTACGGACCGATCCTCCTAAAATGTAGAACGATTTTTGTTCATATAAATATTGTTTATGTCGCATTTTTGAGCCAGTAATTAGCGTTAGTCATTTTCTAATGGGGACCTTAATAGGGGTCGTAGGGTACTGGCTCATACAAAATATCAAATTAACAAGCGTCCGTATGAGAAAGAGTTATTGCAAGTAAATTTTATAATTAATTTATTTACAATTAAAATTGTTTACAATTAATGTGAAAAGGTGTCGAATAGGAAAAAAGAGACGGAGACGAATAAAAAATTTATAAAAAGGATAATCAAGCGGGGAAAGATTGTGTGTAGTTTGCAAATAAAGAACAAAGAAACAACAATTAAAAAAGGGGAAAAAGGCTTCAACATAAGAATAAAAAAAGAACTAACAATACATAAAATTAACAAAAAAAAATATATAGAGTAGGAGAGAAGGAGGGCGGAAACTTGGTTAGCATCTCGATTTAAGTGGAGTTCAACCGGTGGCATGTCTAGCTTACCATCTACCATTCTTTAGGGAGTCCACATATTCAAAACTTCAATTTTTCAACATGTTAACTTTATTTGCTTTTTTCTCAGAAACTAATGGCCAGATTGGGCTGGAAACACGATCTTAATTGGTTTTCAGGTGCTGAATGCGAATATGACCACTAAATTTTGATCCGACCAAGATTTCATCGAAATCCGGAAAATTCCAAACATATTTCGAGTATGTGTCTTAAGTCTTCATAAATTTAATTGTTATATGTGTGCCATGTGGTGAATAAAAAAATAAATAAAAAGGACTGTTGTTATATGTGCGCCATCTGAGTGTAAGAAAATTAATCAAATGTTTTTAAAAGTGTCGTTGGATCGTTGTTATATGTGCGCCATCTGAGTGTAAGAAAATCAAATGTTTTTAAAAGTGTCGCCATATGTTGTTTGTCAATAGGAAAATAAAACAAATGTTTGTCAGTTATTTATTTGGAGAAAAATTTATGGCATCATTGGTAAACAGCTGTTATTAGAGTATCATTTTATTAAGAATGCCACAATAATAAAAAGAAAATGGAAAATATTTCCATTATTTCATCTACATAGATCTTATTTGCCGTTTGTTGTTTTGTTGATGGTTGATTTGGTGTTTGCCTTGAATTTTGCCTTTAGGTAAGATTTTGGATAGATGTTGTCGCTTGATCAATGTGGTCAATTATAATAGATTTGTTTTATTGCTCATTATGTTTGTTAAGATTGTTGATGTTGACGTTTTTGTTTAGTAGTGGATTCTGTTAACTGATCTATTGGGTCCTTGGAGAAATTGATTTTGAATTACTAGCTTTAGTGATTAAAGCAATGGTGTCGTTATTGTTGAGATGTCTATTGTTGTATATTATTTGAAATGTTTTTTGAGGATTATAATGACTTCAATTTCTTTTTTTTTATAAATATTAGGTTGTCTCATTAACCACATGATTTTTCACTCTGGAATGGAAACAGGAAATTATTGAGTCGTTGAAAACTAGATTTTTATTTACTTAACAAACATTATCGATTGTTCCTGCTATAGTTTCTTTATAACTTTCATCAATATTCTGTTGCTGTACTTTCTCAGATTTTCGACAGTTCTTCTGAACAATTATAGCATTTAAAGAAGTGATTGCGACTTGGTAGAAGTGTGGCAACAGGTGTTATTGACACATCATTTAATCAAACCGAAAAAGGACAATTCCACTCAATATAGGAAATTGTTACTATATTTGTTGAAGGTGACAATAGTTCATTTACGCCGGAGGAATTATTTGTAGACTGTTTAAAAGATACATACTTTTACTAGTCAAAATTAGATGAAAAAAATTATTTTGAATGTGGTGATAGTATTTCAAAACAAAATATTGTGTGATATCTTTTTAAATTATTAGGCGTCCTAAAGGGGAACTAGAACAAAGAGGACGGTCTAGGAAAAAGGGGAAATCAATTGTTAAAAGCGTGAATAATATTAATAAAAGTGCATGTAGAATAGGAGGAAGAGAAAAAATTGCAATTAAAATAGGGAAAAAAGGTGGTGGTGAGTGACTAAACATTTGTACATAAATTATGTTTCGTATAGAAGTTTTTTATTCGAATTTCATCGTCTAAGCCGTAATTTTAAGTAATTTAACTGAAGTGTTCATTTATCGATCCATCTTCATCAAAGTCGGTAGGAAGATTTCACCGACCATAAAACTTGTTTATGTTGAATTTCATATATCTACTCGTATTTTAATGCCAGTAATGAGTGTTAAAGGTGCCCTTTTACGGACCGATCCTCCTAAAATGTAGAACGATTTTTGTTCATATAAATATTGTTTATGTCGCATTTTTGAGCCAGTAATTAGCGTTAGTCATTTTCTAATGGGGACCTTAATAGGGGTCGTAGGGTACTGGCTCATACAAAATATCAAATTAACAAGCGTCCGTATGAGAAAGAGTTATTGCAAGTAAATTTTATAATTAATTTATTTACAATTAAAATTGTTTACAATTAATGTGAAAAGGTGTCGAATAGGAAAAAAGAGACGGAGACGAATAAAAAATTTATAAAAAGGATAATCAAGCGGGGAAAGATTGTGTGTAGTTTGCAAATAAAGAACAAAGAAACAACAATTAAAAAAGGGGAAAAAGGCTTCAACATAAGAATAAAAAAAGAACTAACAATACATAAAATTAACAAAAAAAATATATAGAGTAGGAGAGAAGGAGGGCGGAAACTTGGTTAGCATCTCGATTTAAGTGGAGTTCAACCGGTGGCATGTCTAGCTTACCATCTACCATTCTTTAGGGAGTCCACATATTCAAAACTTCAATTTTTCAACATGTTAACTTTATTTGCTTTTTTCTCAGAAACTAATGGCCAGATTGGGCTGGAAACACGATCTTAATTGGTTTTCAGGTGCTGAATGCGAATATGACCACTAAATTTTGATCCGACCAAGATTTCATCGAAATCCGGAAAATTCCAAACATATTTCGAGTATGTGTCTTAAGTCTTCATAAATTTAATTGTTATATGTGTGCCATGTGGTGAATAAAAAAATAAATAAAAAGGACTGTTGTTATATGTGCGCCATCTGAGTGTAAGAAAATTAATCAAATGTTTTTAAAAGTGTCGTTGGATCGTTGTTATATGTGCGCCATCTGAGTGTAAGAAAATCAAATGTTTTTAAAAGTGTCGCCATATGTTGTTTGTCAATAGGAAAATAAAACAAATGTTTGTCAGTTATTTATTTGGAGAAAAATTTATGGCATCATTGGTAAACAGCTGTTATTAGAGTATCATTTTATTAAGAATGCCACAATAATAAAAAGAAAATGGAAAATATTTCCATTATTTCATCTACATAGATCTTATTTGCCGTTTGTTGTTTTGTTGATGGTTGATTTGGTGTTTGCCTTGAATTTTGCCTTTAGGTAAGATTTTGGATAGATGTTGTCGCTTGATCAATGTGGTCAATTATAATAGATTTGTTTTATTGCTCATTATGTTTGTTAAGATTGTTGATGTTGACGTTTTTGTTTAGTAGTGGATTCTGTTAACTGATCTATTGGGTCCTTGGAGAAATTGATTTTGAATTACTAGCTTTAGTGATTAAAGCAATGGTGTCGTTATTGTTGAGATGTCTATTGTTGTATATTATTTGAAATGTTTTTTGAGGATTATAATGACTTCAATTTCTTTATTTTTTATAAATATTAGGTTGTCTCATTAACCACATGATTTTTCACTCTGGAATGGAAACAGGAAATTATTGAGTCGTTGAAAACTAGATTTTTATTTACTTAACAAACATTATCGATTGTTCCTGCTATAGTTTCTTTATAACTTTCATCAATATTCTGTTGCTGTACTTTCTCAGATTTTCGACAGTTCTTCTGAACAATTATAGCATTTAAAGAAGTGATTGCGACTTGGTAGAAGTGTGGCAACAGGTGTTATTGACACATCATTTAATCAAACCGAAAAAGGACAATTCCACTCAATATAGGAAATTGTTACTATATTTGTTGAAGGTGACAATAGTTCATTTACGCCGGAGGAATTATTTGTAGACTGTTTAAAAGATACATACTTTTACTAGTACAAAGAGGACGGTCTAGGAAAAAGGGGAAATCAATTGTTAAAAGCGTGAATAATATTAATAAAAGTGCATGTAGAATAGGAGGAAGAGAAAAAATTGCAATTAAAATAGGGAAAAAAGGTGGTGGTGAGTGACTAAACATTTGTACATAAATTATGTTTCGTATAGAAGTTTTTTATTCGAATTTCATCGTCTAAGCCGTAATTTTAAGTAATTTAACTGAAGTGTTCATTTATCGATCCATCTTCATCAAAGTCGGTAGGAAGATTTCACCGACCATAAAACTTGTTTATGTTGAATTTCATATATCTACTCGTATTTTAATGCCAGTAATGAGTGTTAAAGGTGCCCTTTTACGGACCGATCCTCCTAAAATGTAGAACGATTTTTGTTCATATAAATATTGTTTATGTCGCATTTTTGAGCCAGTAATTAGCGTTAGTCATTTTCTAATGGGGACCTTAATAGGGGTCGTAGGGTACTGGCTCATACAAAATATCAAATTAACAAGCGTCCGTATGAGAAAGAGTTATTGCAAGTAAATTTTATAATTAATTTATTTACAATTAAAATTGTTTACAATTAATGTGAAAAGGTGTCGAATAGGAAAAAAGAGACGGAGACGAATAAAAAATTTATAAAAAGGATAATCAAGCGGGGAAAGATTGTGTGTTGTTTGCAAATAAAGAACAAAGAAACAACAATTAAAAAAGGGGAAAAAGGCTTCAACATAAGAATAAAAAAAGAACTAACAATACATAAAATTAACAAAAAAAAATATATAGAGTAGGAGAGAAGGAGGGCGGAAACTTGGTTAGCATCTCGATTTAAGTGGAGTTCAACCGGTGGCATGTCTAGCTTACCATCTACCATTCTTTAGGGAGTCCACATATTCAAAACTTCAATTTTTCAACATGTTAACTTTATTTGCTTTTTTCTCAGAAACTAATGGCCAGATTGGGCTGGAAACACGATCTTAATTGGTTTTCAGGTGCTGAATCCGAATATGACCACTAAATTTTGATCCGACCAAGATTTCATCGAAATCCGGAAAATTCCAAACATATTTCGAGTATGTGTCTTAAGTCTTCATAAATTTAATTGTTATATGTGTGCCATGTGGTGAATAAAAAAATAAATAAAAAGGACTGTTGTTATATGTGCGCCATCTGAGTGTAAGAAAATTAATCAAATGTTTTTAAAAGTGTCGTTGGATCGTTGTTATATGTGCGCCATCTGAGTGTAAGAAAATCAAATGTTTTTAAAAGTGTCGCCATATGTTGTTTGTCAATAGGAAAATAAAACAAATGTTTGTCAGTTATTTATTTGGAGAAAAATTTATGGCATCATTGGTAAACAGCTGTTATTAGAGTATCATTTTATTAAGAATGCCACAATAATAAAAAGAAAATGGAAAATATTTCCATTATTTCATCTACATAGATCTTATTTGCCGTTTGTTGTTTTGTTGATGGTTGATTTGGTGTTTGCCTTGAATTTTGCCTTTAGGTAAGATTTTGGATAGATGTTGTCGCTTGATCAATGTGGTCAATTATAATAGATTTGTTTTATTGCTCATTATGTTTGTTAAGATTGTTGATGTTGACGTTTTTGTTTAGTAGTGGATTCTGTTAACTGATCTATTGGGTCCTTGGAGAAATTGATTTTGAATTACTAGCTTTAGTGATTAAAGCAATGGTGTCGTTATTGTTGAGATGTCTATTGTTGTATATTATTTGAAATGTTTTTTGAGGATTATAATGACTTCAATTTCTTTATTTTTTATAAATATTAGGTTGTCTGATTAACCACATGATTTTTCACTCTGGAATGGAAACAGGAAATTATTGAGTCGTTGAAAACGAGATTTTTATTTACTTAACAAACATTATCGATTGTTCCTGCTATAGTTTCTTTATAACTTTATCAATATTCTGTTGCTTTCTCAGATTTTCGACAGTTCTTCTGAACAATTATAGCATTTAAAGAAGTGATTGCGACTTGGTAGAAGTGTGGCAACAGGTGTTATTGACACATCATTTAATCAAACCGAAAAAGGACAATTCCACTCAATATAGGAAATTGTTACTATATTTGTTGAAGGTGACAATAGTTCATTTACGCCGGAGGAATTATTTGTAGACTGTTTAAAAGATACATACTTTTACTAGTCAAAATTAGATGAAAAAAATTATTTTGAATGTGGTGATAGTATTTCAAAACAAAATATTGTGTGATATCTTTTTAAATTATTAGGCGTCCTAAAGGGGAACTAGAACAAAGAGGACGGTCTAGGAAAAAGGGGAAATCAATTGTTAAAAGCGTGAATAATATTAATAAAAGTGCATGTAGAATAGGAGGAAGAGAAAAAATTGCAATTAAAATAGGGAAAAAAGGTGGTGGTGAGTGACTAAACATTTGTACATAAATTATGTTTCGTATAGAAGTTTTTTATTCGAATTTCATCGTCTAAGCCGTAATTTTAAGTAATTTAACTGAAGTGTTCATTTATCGATCCATCTTCATCAAAGTCGGTAGGAAGATTTCACCGACCATAAAACTTGTTTATGTTGAATTTCATATATCTACTCGTATTTTAATGCCAGTAATGAGTGTTAAAGGTGCCCTTTTACGGACCGATCCTCCTAAAATTTAGAACGATTTTTGTTCATATAAATATTGTTTATGTCGCATTTTTGAGCCAGTAATTAGCGTTAGTCATTTTCTAATGGGGACCTTAATAGGGGTCGTAGGGTACTGGCTCATACAAAATATCAAATTAACAAGCGTCCGTATGAGAAAGAGTTATTGCAAGTAAATTTTATAATTAATTTATTTACAATTAAAATTGTTTACAATTAATGTGAAAAGGTGTCGAATAGGAAAAAAGAGACGGAGACGAATAAAAAATTTATAAAAAGGATAATCAAGCGGGGAAAGATTGTGTGTTGTTTGCAAATAAAGAACAAAGAAACAACAATTAAAAAAGGGGAAAAAGGCTTCAACATAAGAATAAAAAAAGAACTAACAATACATAAAATTAACAAAAAAAAATATATAGAGTAGGAGAGAAGGAGGGCGGAAACTTGGTTAGCATCTCGATTTAAGTGGAGTTCAACCGGTGGCATGTCTAGCTTACCATCTACCATTCTTTAGGGAGTCCACATATTCAAAACTTCAATTTTTCAACATGTTAACTTTATTTGCTTTTTTCTCAGAAACTAATGGCCAGATTGGGCTGGAAACACGATCTTAATTGGTTTTCAGGTGCTGAATCCGAATATGACCACTAAATTTTGATCCGACCAAGATTTCATCGAAATCCGGAAAATTCCAAACATATTTCGAGTATGTGTCTTAAGTCTTCATAAATTTAATTGTTATATGTGTGCCATGTGGTGAATAAAAAAATAAATAAAAAGGACTGTTGTTATATGTGCGCCATCTGAGTGTAAGAAAATTAATCAAATGTTTTTAAAAGTGTCGTTGGATCGTTGTTATATGTGCGCCATCTGAGTGTAAGAAAATCAAATGTTTTTAAAAGTGTCGCCATATGTTGTTTGTCAATAGGAAAATAAAACAAATGTTTGTCAGTTATTTATTTGGAGAAAAATTTATGGCATCATTGGTAAACAGCTGTTATTAGAGTATCATTTTATTAAGAATGCCACAATAATAAAAAGAAAATGGAAAATATTTCCATTATTTCATCTACATAGATCTTATTTGCCGTTTGTTGTTTTGTTGATGGTTGATTTGGTGTTTGCCTTGAATTTTGCCTTTAGGTAAGATTTTGGATAGATGTTGTCGCTTGATCAATGTGGTCAATTATAATAGATTTGTTTTATTGCTCATTATGTTTGTTAAGATTGTTGATGTTGACGTTTTTGTTTAGTAGTGGATTCTGTTAACTGATCTATTGGGTCCTTGGAGAAATTGATTTTGAATTACTAGCTTTAGTGATTAAAGCAATGGTGTCGTTATTGTTGAGATGTCTATTGTTGTATATTATTTGAAATGTTTTTTGAGGATTATAATGACTTCAATTTCTTTTTTTTTATAAATATTAGGTTGTCTCATTAACCACATGATTTTTCACTCTGGAATGGAAACAGGAAATTATTGAGTCGTTGAAAACTAGATTTTTATTTACTTAACAAACATTATCGATTGTTCCTGCTATAGTTTCTTTATAACTTTCATCAATATTCTGTTGCTGTACTTTCTCAGATTTTCGACAGTTCTTCTGAACAATTATAGCATTTAAAGAAGTGATTGCGACTTGGTAGAAGTGTGGCAACAGGTGTTATTGACACATCATTTAATCAAACCGAAAAAGGACAATTCCACTCAATATAGGAAATTGTTACTATATTTGTTGAAGGTGACAATAGTTCATTTACGCCGGAGGAATTATTTGTAGACTGTTTAAAAGATACATACTTTTACTAGTACAAAGAGGACGGTCTAGGAAAAAGGGGAAATCAATTGTTAAAAGCGTGAATAATATTAATAAAAGTGCATGTAGAATAGGAGGAAGAGAAAAAATTGCAATTAAAATAGGGAAAAAAGGTGGTGGTGAGTGACTAAACATTTGTACATAAATTATGTTTCGTATAGAAGTTTTTTATTCGAATTTCATCGTCTAAGCCGTAATTTTAAGTAATTTAACTGAAGTGTTCATTTATCGATCCATCTTCATCAAAGTCGGTAGGAAGATTTCACCGACCATAAAACTTGTTTATGTTGAATTTCATATATCTACTCGTATTTTAATGCCAGTAATGAGTGTTAAAGGTGCCCTTTTACGGACCGATCCTCCTAAAATTTAGAACGATTTTTGTTCATATAAATATTGTTTATGTCGCATTTTTGAGCCAGTAATTAGCGTTAGTCATTTTCTAATGGGGACCTTAATAGGGGTCGTAGGGTACTGGCTCATACAAAATATCAAATTAACAAGCGTCCGTATGAGAAAGAGTTATTGCAAGTAAATTTTATAATTAATTTATTTACAATTAAAATTGTTTACAATTAATGTGAAAAGGTGTCGAATAGGAAAAAAGAGACGGAGACGAATAAAAAATTTATAAAAAGGATAATCAAGCGGGGAAAGATTGTGTGTTGTTTGCAAATAAAGAACAAAGAAACAACAATTAAAAAAGGGGAAAAAGGCTTCAACATAAGAATAAAAAAAGAACTAACAATACATAAAATTAACAAAAAAAAATATATAGAGTAGGAGAGAAGGAGGGCGGAAACTTGGTTAGCATCTCGATTTAAGTGGAGTTCAACCGGTGGCATGTCTAGCTTACCATCTACCATTCTTTAGGGAGTCCACATATTCAAAACTTCAATTTTTCAACATGTTAACTTTATTTGCTTTTTTCTCAGAAACTAATGGCCAGATTGGGCTGGAAACACGATCTTAATTGGTTTTCAGGTGCTGAATCCGAATATGACCACTAAATTTTGATCCGACCAAGATTTCATCGAAATCCGGAAAATTCCAAACATATTTCGAGTATGTGTCTTAAGTCTTCATAAATTTAATTGTTATATGTGTGCCATGTGGTGAATAAAAAAATAAATAAAAAGGACTGTTGTTATATGTGCGCCATCTGAGTGTAAGAAAATTAATCAAATGTTTTTAAAAGTGTCGTTGGATCGTTGTTATATGTGCGCCATCTGAGTGTAAGAAAATCAAATGTTTTTAAAAGTGTCGCCATATGTTGTTTGTCAATAGGAAAATAAAACAAATGTTTGTCAGTTATTTATTTGGAGAAAAATTTATGGCATCATTGGTAAACAGCTGTTATTAGAGTATCATTTTATTAAGAATGCCACAATAATAAAAAGAAAATGGAAAATATTTCCATTATTTCATCTACATAGATCTTATTTGCCGTTTGTTGTTTTGTTGATGGTTGATTTGGTGTTTGCCTTGAATTTTGCCTTTAGGTAAGATTTTGGATAGATGTTGTCGCTTGATCAATGTGGTCAATTATAATAGATTTGTTTTATTGCTCATTATGTTTGTTAAGATTGTTGATGTTGACGTTTTTGTTTAGTAGTGGATTCTGTTAACTGATCTATTGGGTCCTTGGAGAAATTGATTTTGAATTACTAGCTTTAGTGATTAAAGCAATGGTGTCGTTATTGTTGAGATGTCTATTGTTGTATATTATTTGAAATGTTTTTTGAGGATTATAATGACTTCAATTTCTTTATTTTTTATAAATATTAGGTTGTCTGATTAACCACATGATTTTTCACTCTGGAATGGAAACAGGAAATTATTGAGTCGTTGAAAACGAGATTTTTATTTACTTAACAAACATTATCGATTGTTCCTGCTATAGTTTCTTTATAACTTTCATCAATATTCTGTTGCTGTACTTCTCAGATTTTCGACAGTTCTTCTGAACAATTATAGCATTTAAAGAAGTGATTGCGACTTGGTAGAAGTGTGGCAACAGGTGTTATTGACACATCATTTAATCAAACCGAAAAAGGACAATTCCACTCAATATAGGAAATTGTTACTATATTTGTTGAAGGTGACAATAGTTCATTTACGCCGGAGGAATTATTTGTAGACTGTTTAAAAGATACATACTTTTACTAGTCAAAATTAGATGAAAAAAATTATTTTGAATGTGGTGATAGTATTTCAAAACAAAATATTGTGTGATATCTTTTTAAATTATTAGGCGTCCTAAAGGGGAACTAGAACAAAGAGGACGGTCTAGGAAAAAGGGGAAATCAATTGTTAAAAGCGTGAATAATATTAATAAAAGTGCATGTAGAATAGGAGGAAGAGAAAAAATTGCAATTAAAATAGGGAAAAAAGGTGGTGGTGAGTGACTAAACATTTGTACATAAATTATGTTTCGTATAGAAGTTTTTTATTCGAATTTCATCGTCTAAGCCGTAATTTTAAGTAATTTAACTGAAGTGTTCATTTATCGATCCATCTTCATCAAAGTCGGTAGGAAGATTTCACCGACCATAAAACTTGTTTATGTTGAATTTCATATATCTACTCGTATTTTAATGCCAGTAATGAGTGTTAAAGGTGCCCTTTTACGGACCGATCCTCCTAAAATTTAGAACGATTTTTGTTCATATAAATATTGTTTATGTCGCATTTTTGAGCCAGTAATTAGCGTTAGTCATTTTCTAATGGGGACCTTAATAGGGGTCGTAGGGTACTGGCTCATACAAAATATCAAATTAACAAGCGTCCGTATGAGAAAGAGTTATTGCAAGTAAATTTTATAATTAATTTATTTACAATTAAAATTGTTTACAATTAATGTGAAAAGGTGTCGAATAGGAAAAAAGAGACGGAGACGAATAAAAAATTTATAAAAAGGATAATCAAGCGGGGAAAGATTGTGTGTTGTTTGCAAATAAAGAACAAAGAAACAACAATTAAAAAAGGGGAAAAAGGCTTCAACATAAGAATAAAAAAGAACTAACAATACATAAAATTAACAAAAAAAAATATATAGAGTAGGAGAGAAGGAGGGCGGAAACTTGGTTAGCATCTCGATTTAAGTGGAGTTCAACCGGTGGCATGTCTAGCTTACCATCTACCATTCTTTAGGGAGTCCACATATTCAAAACTTCAATTTTTCAACATGTTAACTTTATTTGCTTTTTTCTCAGAAACTAATGGCCAGATTGGGCTGGAAACACGATCTTAATTGGTTTTCAGGTGCTGAATCCGAATATGACCACTAAATTTTGATCCGACCAAGATTTCATCGAAATCCGGAAAATTCCAAACATATTTCGAGTATGTGTCTTAAGTCTTCATAAATTTAATTGTTATATGTGTGCCATGTGGTGAATAAAAAAATAAATAAAAAGGACTGTTGTTATATGTGCGCCATCTGAGTGTAAGAAAATTAATCAAATGTTTTTAAAAGTGTCGTTGGATCGTTGTTATATGTGCGCCATCTGAGTGTAAGAAATAATCAAATGTTTTTAAAAGTGTCGCCATATGTTGTTTGTCAATAGGAAAATAAAACAAATGTTTGTCAGTTATTTATTTGGAGAAAAATTTATGGCATCATTGGTAAACAGCTGTTATTAGAGTATCATTTTATTAAGAATGCCACAATAATAAAAAGAAAATGGAAAATATTTCCATTATTTCATCTACATAGATCTTATTTGCCGTTTGTTGTTTTGTTGATGGTTGATTTGGTGTTTGCCTTGAATTTTGCCTTTAGGTAAGATTTTGGATAGATGTTGTCGCTTGATCAATGTGGTCAATTATAATAGATTTGTTTTATTGCTCATTATGTTTGTTAAGATTGTTGATGTTGACGTTTTTGTTTAGTAGTGGATTCTGTTAACTGATCTATTGGGTCCTTGGAGAAATTGATTTTGAATTACTAGCTTTAGTGATTAAAGCAATGGTGTCGTTATTGTTGAGATGTCTATTGTTGTATATTATTTGAAATGTTTTTTGAGGATTATAATGACTTCAATTTCTTTATTTTTTATAAATATTAGGTTGTCTGATTAACCACATGATTTTTCACTCTGGAATGGAAACAGGAAATTATTGAGTCGTTGAAAACGAGATTTTTATTTACTTAACAAACATTATCGATTGTTCCTGCTATAGTTTCTTTATAACTTTCATCAATATTCTGTTGCTGTACTTCTCAGATTTTCGACAGTTCTTCTGAACAATTATAGCATTTAAAGAAGTGATTGCGACTTGGTAGAAGTGTGGCAACAGGTGTTATTGACACATCATTTAATCAAACCGAAAAAGGACAATTCCACTCAATATAGGAAATTGTTACTATATTTGTTGAAGGTGACAATAGTTCATTTACGCCGGAGGAATTATTTGTAGACTGTTTAAAAGATACATACTTTTACTAGTCAAAATTAGATGAAAAAAATTATTTTGAATGTGGTGATAGTATTTCAAAACAAAATATTGTGTGATATCTTTTTAAATTATTAGGCGTCCTAAAGGGGAACTAGAACAAAGAGGACGGTCTAGGAAAAAGGGGAAATCAATTGTTAAAAGCGTGAATAATATTAATAAAAGTGCATGTAGAATAGGAGGAAGAGAAAAAATTGCAATTAAAATAGGGAAAAAAGGTGGTGGTGAGTGACTAAACATTTGTACATAAATTATGTTTCGTATAGAAGTTTTTTATTCGAATTTCATCGTCTAAGCCGTAATTTTAAGTAATTTAACTGAAGTGTTCATTTATCGATCCATCTTCATCAAAGTCGGTAGGAAGATTTCACCGACCATAAAACTTGTTTATGTTGAATTTCATATATCTACTCGTATTTTAATGCCAGTAATGAGTGTTAAAGGTGCCCTTTTACGGACCGATCCTCCTAAAATTTAGAACGATTTTTGTTCATATAAATATTGTTTATGTCGCATTTTTGAGCCAGTAATTAGCGTTAGTCATTTTCTAATGGGGACCTTAATAGGGGTCGTAGGGTACTGGCTCATACAAAATATCAAATTAACAAGCGTCCGTATGAGAAAGAGTTATTGCAAGTAAATTTTATAATTAATTTATTTACAATTAAAATTGTTTACAATTAATGTGAAAAGGTGTCGAATAGGAAAAAAGAGACGGAGACGAATAAAAAATTTATAAAAAGGATAATCAAGCGGGGAAAGATTGTGTGTTGTTTGCAAATAAAGAACAAAGAAACAACAATTAAAAAAGGGGAAAAAGGCTTCAACATAAGAATAAAAAAAGAACTAACAATACATAAAATTAACAAAAAAAAATATATAGAGTAGGAGAGAAGGAGGGCGGAAACTTGGTTAGCATCTCGATTTAAGTGGAGTTCAACCGGTGGCATGTCTAGCTTACCATCTACCATTCTTTAGGGAGTCCACATATTCAAAACTTCAATTTTTCAACATGTTAACTTTATTTGCTTTTTTCTCAGAAACTAATGGCCAGATTGGGCTGGAAACACGATCTTAATTGGTTTTCAGGTGCTGAATCCGAATATGACCACTAAATTTTGATCCGACCAAGATTTCATCGAAATCCGGAAAATTCCAAACATATTTCGAGTATGTGTCTTAAGTCTTCATAAATTTAATTGTTATATGTGTGCCATGTGGTGAATAAAAAAATAAATAAAAAGGACTGTTGTTATATGTGCGCCATCTGAGTGTAAGAAAATTAATCAAATGTTTTTAAAAGTGTCGTTGGATCGTTGTTATATGTGCGCCATCTGAGTGTAAGAAAATCAAATGTTTTTAAAAGTGTCGCCATATGTTGTTTGTCAATAGGAAAATAAAACAAATGTTTGTCAGTTATTTATTTGGAGAAAAATTTATGGCATCATTGGTAAACAGCTGTTATTAGAGTATCATTTTATTAAGAATGCCACAATAATAAAAAGAAAATGGAAAATATTTCCATTATTTCATCTACATAGATCTTATTTGCCGTTTGTTGTTTTGTTGATGGTTGATTTGGTGTTTGCCTTGAATTTTGCCTTTAGGTAAGATTTTGGATAGATGTTGTCGCTTGATCAATGTGGTCAATTATAATAGATTTGTTTTATTGCTCATTATGTTTGTTAAGATTGTTGATGTTGACGTTTTTGTTTAGTAGTGGATTCTGTTAACTGATCTATTGGGTCCTTGGAGAAATTGATTTTGAATTACTAGCTTTAGTGATTAAAGCAATGGTGTCGTTATTGTTGAGATGTCTATTGTTGTATATTATTTGAAATGTTTTTTGAGGATTATAATGACTTCAATTTCTTTATTTTTTATAAATATTAGGTTGTCTGATTAACCACATGATTTTTCACTCTGGAATGGAAACAGGAAATTATTGAGTCGTTGAAAACGAGATTTTTATTTACTTAACAAACATTATCGATTGTTCCTGCTATAGTTTCTTTATAACTTTCATCAATATTCTGTTGCTGTACTTTCTCAGATTTTCGACAGTTCTTCTGAACAATTATAGCATTTAAAGAAGTGATTGCGACTTGGTAGAAGTGTGGCAACAGGTGTTATTGACACATCATTTAATCAAACCGAAAAAGGACAATTCCACTCAATATAGGAAATTGTTACTATATTTGTTGAAGGTGACAATAGTTCATTTACGCCGGAGGAATTATTTGTAGACTGTTTAAAAGATACATACTTTTACTAGTCAAAATTAGATGAAAAAAATTATTTTGAATGTGGTGATAGTATTTCAAAACAAAATATTGTGTGATATCTTTTTAAATTATTAGGCGTCCTAAAGGGGAACTAGAACAAAGAGGACGGTCTAGGAAAAAGGGGAAATCAATTGTTAAAAGCGTGAATAATATTAATAAAAGTGCATGTAGAATAGGAGGAAGAGAAAAAATTGCAATTAAAATAGGGAAAAAAGGTGGTGGTGAGTGACTAAACATTTGTACATAAATTATGTTTCGTATAGAAGTTTTTTATTCGAATTTCATCGTCTAAGCCGTAATTTTAAGTAATTTAACTGAAGTGTTCATTTATCGATCCATCTTCATCAAAGTCGGTAGGAAGATTTCACCGACCATAAAACTTGTTTATGTTGAATTTCATATATCTACTCGTATTTTAATGCCAGTAATGAGTGTTAAAGGTGCCCTTTTACGGACCGATCCTCCTAAAATTTAGAACGATTTTTGTTCATATAAATATTGTTTATGTCGCATTTTTGAGCCAGTAATTAGCGTTAGTCATTTTCTAATGGGGACCTTAATAGGGGTCGTAGGGTACTGGCTCATACAAAATATCAAATTAACAAGCGTCCGTATGAGAAAGAGTTATTGCAAGTAAATTTTATAATTAATTTATTTACAATTAAAATTGTTTACAATTAATGTGAAAAGGTGTCGAATAGGAAAAAAGAGACGGAGACGAATAAAAAATTTATAAAAAGGATAATCAAGCGGGGAAAGATTGTGTGTAGTTTGCAAATAAAGAACAAAGAAACAACAATTAAAAAAGGGGAAAAAGGCTTCAACATAAGAATAAAAAAAGAACTAACAATACATAAAATTAACAAAAAAAAATATATAGAGTAGGAGAGAAGGAGGGCGGAAACTTGGTTAGCATCTCGATTTAAGTGGAGTTCAACCGGTGGCATGTCTAGCTTACCATCTACCATTCTTTAGGGAGTCCACATATTCAAAACTTCAATTTTTCAACATGTTAACTTTATTTGCTTTTTTCTCAGAAACTAATGGCCAGATTGGGCTGGAAACACGATCTTAATTGGTTTTCAGGTGCTGAATGCGAATATGACCACTAAATTTTGATCCGACCAAGATTTCATCGAAATCCGGAAAATTCCAAACATATTTCGAGTATGTGTCTTAAGTCTTCATAAATTTAATTGTTATATGTGTGCCATGTGGTGAATAAAAAAATAAATAAAAAGGACTGTTGTTATATGTGCGCCATCTGAGTGTAAGAAAATTAATCAAATGTTTTTAAAAGTGTCGTTGGATCGTTGTTATATGTGCGCCATCTGAGTGTAAGAAAATCAAATGTTTTTAAAAGTGTCGCCATATGTTGTTTGTCAATAGGAAAATAAAACAAATGTTTGTCAGTTATTTATTTGGAGAAAAATTTATGGCATCATTGGTAAACAGCTGTTATTAGAGTATCATTTTATTAAGAATGCCACAATAATAAAAAGAAAATGGAAAATATTTCCATTATTTCATCTACATAGATCTTATTTGCCGTTTGTTGTTTTGTTGATGGTTGATTTGGTGTTTGCCTTGAATTTTGCCTTTAGGTAAGATTTTGGATAGATGTTGTCGCTTGATCAATGTGGTCAATTATAATAGATTTGTTTTATTGCTCATTATGTTTGTTAAGATTGTTGATGTTGACGTTTTTGTTTAGTAGTGGATTCTGTTAACTGATCTATTGGGTCCTTGGAGAAATTGATTTTGAATTACTAGCTTTAGTGATTAAAGCAATGGTGTCGTTATTGTTGAGATGTCTATTGTTGTATATTATTTGAAATGTTTTTTGAGGATTATAATGACTTCAATTTCTTTATTTTTTATAAATATTAGGTTGTCTCATTAACCACATGATTTTTCACTCTGGAATGGAAACAGGAAATTATTGAGTCGTTGAAAACTAGATTTTTATTTACTTAACAAACATTATCGATTGTTCCTGCTATAGTTTCTTTATAACTTTCATCAATATTCTGTTGCTGTACTTTCTCAGATTTTCGACAGTTCTTCTGAACAATTATAGCATTTAAAGAAGTGATTGCGACTTGGTAGAAGTGTGGCAACAGGTGTTATTGACACATCATTTAATCAAACCGAAAAAGGACAATTCCACTCAATATAGGAAATTGTTACTATATTTGTTGAAGGTGACAATAGTTCATTTACGCCGGAGGAATTATTTGTAGACTGTTTAAAAGATACATACTTTTACTAGTACAAAGAGGACGGTCTAGGAAAAAGGGGAAATCAATTGTTAAAAGCGTGAATAATATTAATAAAAGTGCATGTAGAATAGGAGGAAGAGAAAAAATTGCAATTAAAATAGGGAAAAAAGGTGGTGGTGAGTGACTAAACATTTGTACATAAATTATGTTTCGTATAGAAGTTTTTTATTCGAATTTCATCGTCTAAGCCGTAATTTTAAGTAATTTAACTGAAGTGTTCATTTATCGATCCATCTTCATCAAAGTCGGTAGGAAGATTTCACCGACCATAAAACTTGTTTATGTTGAATTTCATATATCTACTCGTATTTTAATGCCAGTAATGAGTGTTAAAGGTGCCCTTTTACGGACCGATCCTCCTAAAATGTAGAACGATTTTTGTTCATATAAATATTGTTTATGTCGCATTTTTGAGCCAGTAATTAGCGTTAGTCATTTTCTAATGGGGACCTTAATAGGGGTCGTAGGGTACTGGCTCATACAAAATATCAAATTAACAAGCGTCCGTATGAGAAAGAGTTATTGCAAGTAAATTTTATAATTAATTTATTTACAATTAAAATTGTTTACAATTAATGTGAAAAGGTGTCGAATAGGAAAAAAGAGACGGAGACGAATAAAAAATTTATAAAAAGGATAATCAAGCGGGGAAAGATTGTGTGTAGTTTGCAAATAAAGAACAAAGAAACAACAATTAAAAAAGGGGAAAAAGGCTTCAACATAAGAATAAAAAAGAACTAACAATACATAAAATTAACAAAAAAAATATATAGAGTAGGAGAGAAGGAGGGCGGAAACTTGGTTAGCATCTCGATTTAAGTGGAGTTCAACCGGTGGCATGTCTAGCTTACCATCTACCATTCTTTAGGGAGTCCACATATTCAAAACTTCAATTTTTCAACATGTTAACTTTATTTGCTTTTTTCTCAGAAACTAATGGCCAGATTGGGCTGGAAACACGATCTTAATTGGTTTTCAGGTGCTGAATGCGAATATGACCACTAAATTTTGATCCGACCAAGATTTCATCGAAATCCGGAAAATTCCAAACATATTTCGAGTATGTGTCTTAAGTCTTCATAAATTTAATTGTTATATGTGTGCCATGTGGTGAATAAAAAAATAAATAAAAAGGACTGTTGTTATATGTGCGCCATCTGAGTGTAAGAAAATTAATCAAATGTTTTTAAAAGTGTCGTTGGATCGTTGTTATATGTGCGCCATCTGAGTGTAAGAAAATCAAATGTTTTTAAAAGTGTCGCCATATGTTGTTTGTCAATAGGAAAATAAAACAAATGTTTGTCAGTTATTTATTTGGAGAAAAATTTATGGCATCATTGGTAAACAGCTGTTATTAGAGTATCATTTTATTAAGAATGCCACAATAATAAAAAGAAAATGGAAAATATTTCCATTATTTCATCTACATAGATCTTATTTGCCGTTTGTTGTTTTGTTGATGGTTGATTTGGTGTTTGCCTTGAATTTTGCCTTTAGGTAAGATTTTGGATAGATGTTGTCGCTTGATCAATGTGGTCAATTATAATAGATTTGTTTTATTGCTCATTATGTTTGTTAAGATTGTTGATGTTGACGTTTTTGTTTAGTAGTGGATTCTGTTAACTGATCTATTGGGTCCTTGGAGAAATTGATTTTGAATTACTAGCTTTAGTGATTAAAGCAATGGTGTCGTTATTGTTGAGATGTCTATTGTTGTATATTATTTGAAATGTTTTTTGAGGATTATAATGACTTCAATTTCTTTTTTTTTTATAAATATTAGGTTGTCTCATTAACCACATGATTTTTCACTCTGGAATGGAAACAGGAAATTATTGAGTCGTTGAAAACTAGATTTTTATTTACTTAACAAACATTATCGATTGTTCCTGCTATAGTTTCTTTATAACTTTCATCAATATTCTGTTGCTGTACTTTCTCAGATTTTCGACAGTTCTTCTGAACAATTATAGCATTTAAAGAAGTGATTGCGACTTGGTAGAAGTGTGGCAACAGGTGTTATTGACACATCATTTAATCAAACCGAAAAAGGACAATTCCACTCAATATAGGAAATTGTTACTATATTTGTTGAAGGTGACAATAGTTCATTTACGCCGGAGGAATTATTTGTAGACTGTTTAAAAGATACATACTTTTACTAGTACAAAGAGGACGGTCTAGGAAAAAGGGGAAATCAATTGTTAAAAGCGTGAATAATATTAATAAAAGTGCATGTAGAATAGGAGGAAGAGAAAAAATTGCAATTAAAATAGGGAAAAAAGGTGGTGGTGAGTGACTAAACATTTGTACATAAATTATGTTTCGTATAGAAGTTTTTTATTCGAATTTCATCGTCTAAGCCGTAATTTTAAGTAATTTAACTGAAGTGTTCATTTATCGATCCATCTTCATCAAAGTCGGTAGGAAGATTTCACCGACCATAAAACTTGTTTATGTTGAATTTCATATATCTACTCGTATTTTAATGCCAGTAATGAGTGTTAAAGGTGCCCTTTTACGGACCGATCCTCCTAAAATGTAGAACGATTTTTGTTCATATAAATATTGTTTATGTCGCATTTTTGAGCCAGTAATTAGCGTTAGTCATTTTCTAATGGGGACCTTAATAGGGGTCGTAGGGTACTGGCTCATACAAAATATCAAATTAACAAGCGTCCGTATGAGAAAGAGTTATTGCAAGTAAATTTTATAATTAATTTATTTACAATTAAAATTGTTTACAATTAATGTGAAAAGGTGTCGAATAGGAAAAAAGAGACGGAGACGAATAAAAAATTTATAAAAAGGATAATCAAGCGGGGAAAGATTGTGTGTAGTTTGCAAATAAAGAACAAAGAAACAACAATTAAAAAAGGGGAAAAAGGCTTCAACATAAGAATAAAAAAGAACTAACAATACATAAAATTAACAAAAAAAATATATAGAGTAGGAGAGAAGGAGGGCGGAAACTTGGTTAGCATCTCGATTTAAGTGGAGTTCAACCGGTGGCATGTCTAGCTTACCATCTACCATTCTTTAGGGAGTCCACATATTCAAAACTTCAATTTTTCAACATGTTAACTTTATTTGCTTTTTTCTCAGAAACTAATGGCCAGATTGGGCTGGAAACACGATCTTAATTGGTTTTCAGGTGCTGAATGCGAATATGACCACTAAATTTTGATCCGACCAAGATTTCATCGAAATCCGGAAAATTCCAAACATATTTCGAGTATGTGTCTTAAGTCTTCATAAATTTAATTGTTATATGTGTGCCATGTGGTGAATAAAAAAATAAATAAAAAGGACTGTTGTTATATGTGCGCCATCTGAGTGTAAGAAAATTAATCAAATGTTTTTAAAAGTGTCGTTGGATCGTTGTTATATGTGCGCCATCTGAGTGTAAGAAAATCAAATGTTTTTAAAAGTGTCGCCATATGTTGTTTGTCAATAGGAAAATAAAACAAATGTTTGTCAGTTATTTATTTGGAGAAAAATTTATGGCATCATTGGTAAACAGCTGTTATTAGAGTATCATTTTATTAAGAATGCCACAATAATAAAAAGAAAATGGAAAATATTTCCATTATTTCATCTACATAGATCTTATTTGCCGTTTGTTGTTTTGTTGATGGTTGATTTGGTGTTTGCCTTGAATTTTGCCTTTAGGTAAGATTTTGGATAGATGTTGTCGCTTGATCAATGTGGTCAATTATAATAGATTTGTTTTATTGCTCATTATGTTTGTTAAGATTGTTGATGTTGACGTTTTTGTTTAGTAGTGGATTCTGTTAACTGATCTATTGGGTCCTTGGAGAAATTGATTTTGAATTACTAGCTTTAGTGATTAAAGCAATGGTGTCGTTATTGTTGAGATGTCTATTGTTGTATATTATTTGAAATGTTTTTTTGAGGATTATAATGACTTCAATTTCTTTTTTTTTTATAAATATTAGGTTGTCTCATTAACCACATGATTTTTCACTCTGGAATGGAAA